ATATTTGGTGCCGAACGGCCACAACGTGAATAAGGCAACTTCGGTTCTATCGGGAGACGGAATTTTGATCGTTTCGATTCCTCGCAACGAAAGCGTTGTCGAAGAGCGCGTTATTCCTATTCTGCAGGGGGAATCTCAAGATGAAGAACAGGATAAACGTTTAGATGAGCAGCGCTCGCAAGCTGACGAAAAATGCGAAGACGATCAAGTAGACGAAAAGAAAGCTTAATTATATGCACATCTTTTTGAATTAATACCTACCTGCTTAATTTTGCACTTTCTTTTACACCCGCAGTAGTTTATTGTTTCTTGCAAATAATACTATGCAATTTTTTATTATGTTTATTGTTATTTCTCATGTATAATTATTTATGGAATAAATGAAGCCCTTAATGGGTTTCTAATTTGCAAAAATAGTCACGATTGAATTACACCAAAAAAATTTGCAAAATGTGGCGATAATTACATCAAAAGTTATAACAAAAAAGATTTTTTGAATAATAATATTATAGTGTTCCAGGTCTAGAGGCCCTTTGCTTGATGGGTTACCTTCCTCCATTGGATCATGTTAATCACTTGTTTCTTAGGGTTCCACTTCTTGCTTCCATATACTTTTTGATCTCCCTCTTCTTCTCTACCGGTGTCAAGTTAGGCCCCCACTTTTGGAATTTTTAGAATATTTTTATTGCAATCGTTTGTTGGTCGTTTGTTGGTGTTTGTTAGTTACATTTTCACGTTTGTTGGTTGATTGTTATTGAAATATTCAAAATTCAAAAATTTGCCCCCCCAGTTGCAATATTTCATTTTTTGTGTTTGGTGGGTGTTCTTTACCGTTTGGTGGTTGATAGCATGTTCAGAATAAATTTTGTACATTTTGGGCGTGAAGTTAGCCCCCAACATTCGCGTTTGTTGTTTGATCGTTATTTATTTATTCAAAAATTCAACAAATGTGAAAGGTAGGAGAACTAGACGTTGGTTACAAGATTTCTGCAATACATTAACATTACAGAAGTGAGCACTAGTCACCATCAAATTCGGCATTGTTCTCTTCCGAAGAAGCTTCTACAATATGAATAAACAGAGATTTTCTGGTGAGTTCTCATAAGTAATTCATAATTGCTATAAATGACTTTTTTATAACTTCTGGGGATCCATTACTGGGTGGTATATCATATATGGCCGAGGAAGTAAAACATTTACTACAACGTTCATAAAGTAATTCTTGATCTTAGTCTGAAAAAGGGAATTCAATGCCGAAAACCTTTTTTAGAGATTTAGGAAAAATATTAGTCTGGCGGGGGTAAATCAGGAGTGCTCAACCATTCAAAACCAGTTTTAGCTATTCGCAACAGAATTATCCGGGGTAGTTCCACTATGTAGATTTTTCTTTAGTCTTTAGGTGACTGAGCAACTGAGATACTTGACTCGATTGAGATAACCATAGCCGTAGATCAGTAATATTTTATTAAAAAAAATAATGAACTAGAACATGCAAAAGTTCCTATTTAATGCACTATTAAGCATTGTAAAGAAAAGCAAATATTAAAAACTAAATATATCCAAAAATTTTCCGCCGTTCCGCAGTTTTGCTGGCAAATTCTTTCAATATATCCTCTACTTCTACACTTTTTGTAATTTTTCTGCATGCACATGCAGTAGAAGATGTTAGTCGCTTTTGAGTGATTTATCTACTCATTCTTAGAGGAGGCGCGGGCCCCTTGTGTAAAAACTAAGGGGGCGACTCGCCCTCTCTGAGCCATACTTTGGACGTCGCTGCCTATCTATAATAAAAAAAAATTCAACCCGATTTCTTGTACGATCTACTGAGCAATTGTAGGTAAATCAATGGTCCAGTTATTGAATAATCTTTTGTTTTTAAAATTTTTACAACTGCACAATTCATATACTTTCCCAAATTATTTTCTTGTGATAGTTGAACCAGTTCCAATGAGATGTCGCCACGTACGTAACTACCTTCAAAAGAACATTTTAATTTATGCACTTAATAGCCACGTCCGACTCAATTTTCCTTAAAGGGCAGTTGAAAATGTGCAATTACATGTAGGATCTGTGGAGCAATTGTACTTCAATGATCCAGTATCTGGAATTGTCTTTTGTGTATGCAATTCATAGATATATAAATACATAGATACAGCCATACCCCAACATAGTTCAAAAGGACGTACCATCTATTACCATCACTTTCGGCACATTAATTACGTATAGCGCTATCCTTCATAGAGGTACCCTGAGCATGGAAGACAAGATTCGCATTATTTATTATAACTGTCAATCAAATTGTTAGCACAAATCACACAGAAAATTATCAGATTTGAGACTTTACAACATAAATAAACCGCCTGTTTATTTATTTAAATCGCATAGAAGCAAGAAATGTTACATTTAAAATGGAATATGTTACTTAGAAAGCTGGCAAATGAAGAATTTGAAAAAATTACAGCTGACAACTGGAAGAAAGTGTGTGAACATATTGTGGAAAGTGATTAATTTAAAAGAGAAGTTATATTGGTTGATGTTTCTGAACTTTATAATAAGTGTTAATAATGACAGTGATGATTCGGGTTTGTCAATTTCATCTGACGATGATTCGGATTGTGAACTTTTACAAACGTAATGAATGTTGACTAAATGAGTATTATCACCAATTGGATATCATTGTTAAGATGTTGTATTTATTTTAAATAAATGTACACGTGTAGCTTACTTACTACAATTAGCACTATAATTTCAAAAAGAAAACCCACCGATTGGACATATGCCGAAAGGTAGGCAAGACGCGTAGCGACCAAAATTTGATATTGCACGCACACACAGTCTATAAATCTCGTTTTCCTAAGAATATTGCACGGATCCTTCGTGATCATGATACAAACGCACTGCAACAACATCATATAGGCCAAAATGATAATTGGAAACCAATTCACTTCCTGTTGCAACTTAATCTCCGTTACCATTACGCCTAAAACCATGCAATTAAAATTAAAATGTTGAACATAAACTTTACTTACTTACGGTTTTTTTTATATTCTGCAAGCCAGCAATGAATTCACTGCAGCACATCATGCCAAACAAGGTAAACATAGTCCCAAATTTGAATGGCGTAGCTCTATGTAATAAAACTATTTCAGGAATAACAATTATGGACGCGTCTATAATTATGGCAAGCACTAATGTTATTCGTATTCAATTGATAACGATATAATTACACAATATTTAGTGAAAAAACCGCCCATCATGTTTAGGGCGAATATTTTTAGTTAGATTTGATTTCGCGCGATCGTGAATTCTGTCAACTGTCACATGACTTATGGGACGCGCTAAGTTTGTTTTAAGCGTCCGATTCGCGTACGACATAGTGGTTAATAAAAAAGAGATAGAACATGTTTCTTCTTGGTTAGAAAGTAATGGAGAGATGTACAAATTTCTTTGATATGTTTTTTAAAAACCGAGGTACGTTTGTTAAGGATGGCTGTATCTAGGTATTTATATATCTATGATGCAATCACAAGAAATCTTATACAAACTAGAACGCTAATAGGCATGGGATGCGCGAGAACAAAATGACACAATTTGAACGGTGAAAATTGACATTTGGTGGACTCCTGAGTTTGCGCATTGCGTGAGCTTACAGATCCGGTCTCTGAATTCGCCATTGTGATAGTTGTTATTTCGATAAGAGCGAATAAAATATCATAGAGTCTTGTTGCAATAAATACTGTGTCATCAAATTATTCCTTAATGTCGATGTAAAAGAATACCCAAAATTCCTCACTTCGTTATCTGGCCCTCGATATGTAGCTACTTCCAAATATTTTCGAGCCGGCCCTGGCTATTTTTAAATTTGGCAGCTCCGTTTTGTCTTACTGCGCAAACTCAGTAGTGCACCTGTGCGAATTCAATTTGGGTCAATTTCTTTACATTGCATTAGCATTCCATTTTTTTTTAGTTCAGTGGTAGCTACTTGTACTAACTAGTAACTGCCAACTTAAGAGATGAGTTACCAAAAAAAAACAACTATAATCACTGTCTTTGTACAACTGTTTTCGGCCTAAAACAGTTGTACAAAATCATCATTGTGACACCGAAATAGAAAAAAATGTTTTATGGTGTAAGTATCGAAAATCTTAAATATGTTCGAAAAACACGCTCCTGTGTAGTGAACCAAAAATCATTTCCATTTTAGTCAATTTTGGAAAATCCGGATTCAAAAAAATCACAAGAACGCATTAACGTACCTCTCGTTCTTAATTAAGTCTTCCCATTTCCGGAAAATCGGAATCCGAAGTCAATTTTTTTTTTAATTCGCCTGGTTGTTCAGATCCTTTCATTTCTTAGAACGTTTAGGATTAATTGTGTCCTTCAGTTTTTTGGCTATTGATATTTTTTTTGGTTCATTTTCCTAGTTCCCGTTTTAGATTTGTTGGAGTTTTCAATTTTACCAGTTTTTTAGATTGAATTCCCCATCAGGAAAGGGGTAGAAATGTATACATAATTTGTCTAGTGTACAGTGCGTCCCGTATTTTTTCCCATAGCGCTGTGCTTTCCGTTGTAAGGTGTGTTGCCTAACCGTAAGGGTATATCACTACAAAACCTAGGCCGATTAAGGGCAAACGGGCCAACGGTATGATCCCTTCTATACAGAGGGAATTACAGTTTAATACAACTTACCTTGTACAGTGTGAGCAACAATGATTGAAGCGTGCGTCATCACCGCTTGTTCCTATTAATATCAAAACTACCTTCTTTGTATGGAGTTGTATACGAAAATGACGTTCTGCGCTGTCACAGTGACGTGCGTCTATTCGTATTTCGTATCTTGTATCAAATCAGCATATGCTATGAGCGGCACATTGCCAATTTAGCTGAAGCGGCACGCTTCAATCTTTGTTGCTCACTCTGTAGATACGTTATTGTTGTGAAGTGTGTGTTATGAAAATTTGACAACGTCGCATGACTACAGACTACAGCATTGCAGCATGGCATGCAGTCATCCTGAAGCTGTCAACTTTGGCATGTCTGCAATAATTTTGTATACAATTAATTTTTTTCTCTACTCTTAATTATTCTTAGATTTTATTCTTTTGTGATATGGTGCAATTATGGCGAAGAGATTATATTTTTATTACTATTTTTTAATGTCCTTTATCTAAATGTAAGTAATAATAACAATATATTGGGGCTCCAAGAATATTTATTTCATCTTGGGCTTTTTAGGTTCCTTATTGTAAGTATATGTAATAGTTTGACGTCGGACTCCTCTACCGAATTATGGACAAGAAATTTAAGTTAAGTGTAAGTAATATAGCGATTGATTCAGATGCCAGCGCAGAAACCAATAGTCTAAGTGCCGAAAGTACTACGACCGAAAATGTGCAACACAAAACTAGGAAAAAGTTCGGAAGGCGAAGAGGCTCCGAATGGGAAGTTGTGGAGGGTTTGAAGGAGGGGCAAAGGTTTGAAAAGCGCCCCGATGTGTACAACGGATTTCTTCACAAGAAACGTAAATGGCCACTCAAAGGATGGCACAAGGTAGGACTAATGAATACCCAAATTGTGAGTAACCGTACGCTAATATTTGTAAACTGTATAATGGCAAGGTTGGTGGTGATGTCATCCAAATGTATACATTAAGCTCCCATTTGTTTGTGAAAACAGAGTGCAAATCATTTAATTAACTTCTTGGCGGAAGTATCTTTCGAGGCGTAGCATTAAAAGTTTGCAAGAGCAGAGGTTTTGCACCAGAAAACTAACCATCTTGAGATCATATAATTTATTTGAGCATGTTACAATCTGGCTTGATCTTAAGCAGTAATGGTCACACATTTGACAATGAATCCATATATAAGCTTTGACATTGAAAACAGTCGCTATCTATCATTTCTGACTGTTTCTCGTTATGTCGAATCTAATAATTATTATACTGAACTTCGCTTAAACTAACACTTGGCATTGGTTACTTTGATCCGTGACCACTCAGAATTAAGGACAGGCAAAGTTTGTAAATATTGGATATGCCCAAGTTTACATTGTAGTATGTCAATGTTAAAATCACTCATGCAATGCCAATTATGAGAAAATTGTGATAAGCATGTTTTCAAATCTTGTTAATAATACTGTGTCTGTTTCATTGAGGATTTGTTTGTTAGTTTTAATTGGTGTATGTATTGTGAGTGGGCGTAAATTTTGTTATAACGAATCATTTTCATTTGAAATTATAAAGTGAGCTCGAAAGTGAGGATACAAATTGCTAACACTCCGGCCACTATAAAATAAGGGCAATAAAAAAATTAAAATTAAAATACATGTAATGTAATAAAATTACTGTATACCCGAGTGTATACCATTATGGCATATTTTCATGTGCAGGATGAGTCTCTTTTTTGATCTCCACAATTTTAAAATTTGAAAAAAAAACATTGAGTTTTTTCCTTTTCCCCTTGAGAGGATGGTTAAATTGACGCATTTGTTATTCCCTCGCATTTTCTGAAACTGAGGGGTAGTTTTTGCATATGAAAGTTACTGTGATACAAAGTTTTCGAACCCCCTGTATTTATTTATAATCAAAATATCCATACCGATCAATACAGTACACGAAAGCCGAACCTCTTTTAAAAGGAAACCAGCGCCAATTACATAATAAGAGCTCTCATATTGACAAAATTGGCAATGATGAACCTATATAAGTATTAAAGTACATACATATCGATCTAAAAAAAATATTATTTTATACAGTGTGTCTACTTACAATCCTCAAAGCAGAATGTTTCTGTAACAGCGTCCTCAAACTTTCTGCAAGTACCATCGAGATGTCTGTCATAGCTTATATACGGGAACGCCAGAATGATGCCTCACAAAATGAGTTTGAGATTTTTAGTGCACTTTCACTTTCAAAAAATAAAATGATGTCTGTCTGTCTGTCACAAAGGCTCCGGAACTAGACCATTTACAGACTTGGTATTGGTGTCATTCGAACAGAAATTATTTCATGTTTGTATTCTCGTTAAGGGCATGAAATGTCCATAGGGTCTATTAAAATCCAAAAAACCAATTTGAAAATGCACTCTTCGCTTCTTGCTCACAAACGGCTTGTATACTGTATTCATTTTAAGAAGGGAGAAAGCATAGTGAAGCTTTGACCTTCACTGTGATTGGTTAAAACTCGAGTCAGTATTACAATGAAACATAAAACGACTGGTGAATTTTGTAAGGTGGTAGTTTATGTTGCCAACTAAACTGCCAAAGTATTATTAGTTGTTATTGTCAAAGATTTATTTCTGTTCGCAGTGCTGAATATTTCTACTTTAGAATAATTTGGTGCCGTTTTATATTTTTCCTGTGTGTGCTTATCTTCAAACACAGCGCCATCTACTACCTTCTTATAATGAATGCAGTATAGTTGCAGTTGTACAAGAATGCTGCGGAGTGGTGCGAAGGGATAACGCGTCTGCTATTTACGAATGGACGGCACAGAACTGACGCGTTGAGTGACCTTGGGAGCTTATTTTTTTACCTCCAATTTTCCGCAGTCATTATTTTGTTTCTGCGACAATGTCGCCCGTTGTTCTGCTTTGGGGCTTATAATAAAAAAGTTTTCCATATGTTGCCAACTTCAGCAGGCGCACTGTATGATATATATATTTCTGAGTTTAAAGAATAAATTAAACATGACAAACCCGCCGCCGCACTCGTGCGATTGGCTGAAGTGCATTTTTCTCACGCGATACGTGCAATACTTACCAACATTTACTATGGTTACACCTACTTCAACTATTATAGATACATACCTACATACATTTTAAAGTTGGTTTCGCATGCGCAAACAATTTTCAACCGCACTATCAGTTAAATGTTGAAAACAGTTGAAAGTAACAGTAATAATAATAATATGTTTATTGCCTGTGATCAATATACATTGACATAGACATAGTCACTAACATTAACAAAAACACATTAAAAATCGCATCAGTGCAAACTGATAGAATTATTAGACCACTCTATGCATTAATGCATCGTAAATAAATAAACACGCCGTTCTTCAAGGTCTTACCACTAGGCATTCCGGACAAACAGAATTCACGCAGATATTATCAGTGCAAATGCGAAAAGAAGTTATGACGCTTTAAAGAAAACCAGAAAATACAGAAATACTTCACTTTCGTTTTTATTTTTTTCTTATGTTATTTGAACAGATACAAAAAAATAAAAAAAAACACTTTCTCATAATGAGAATCTCATTGCTATTTGAGCTCTTTTTGTAGAAACTATCAACATTCTCTTTTATTTGACCTATAAAAAAAAGTACATGCGGGATTGAGTGCCATTTTTTATTATGAATACAACGATATATGGCGTACATAAAAAAATAAAAGTTGAAAAGTGTTGGCTTCAACAGGATGGTGCACTCGCGCAGTGCGCACAACGCCCTAATCGTGCGAGAATACTCTCTACTCAAATTTTCTGGAAAATGTAAAAGTTATCCAAGAGTTATCATGCACGATTAGGGTGGTTGTGCGCGGGTGCACCATCCTGTTGAAACCAACACTTTTGTTTTGTTTTTTTGTGTCCGTACTTATATCATTTTATTTGTAATAAAAAATGCTACTCAATACAGTACATACTATGTTTTACTATGACACCATTTCATTTTCAGAGATATTTCATACTTAACAAGGGAATTCTGATATATGGAAAAAATCCGAACGAAATGAACAAAGGCAAGATCCACGGTTCCGTCGATGTAGGATTATCGGTAATTTCTAGCAAACTTACTGGCTGTCGAATAGACATAGACGCGGAAGAATATATCTATCATCTAAAAGCGAAAACCGACGAAAATTTTACGGCGTGGCTGAAACAACTTACCGACCATAGGCTATTTCGACAACACGGTTTGACTTATGGCAGTAAAGCTGGAATTTTTCCTTCTTTGCAAACGACTGAAGGTAAGTTTGTCATGAACGGATTGTTGTGAATTATATCTAGATCCAGTGTGATTATTATTATTATAGTACTAGGGATGGTCCCAGTCGGTTTGTGCACTGTGACCTTTTTGTCTATTGGGCTCCCCAGTATTGTCGAACCTTCAAGAAACCCTGTATCGTTACCAAAGTCCGCGACTTTCTAGATTGATAGACACATTGTTGTTTCCTGATGGGTTCAGGCCCCAGTACCACATCCCTTATGTGTTGCTCAACAAGTTTCTTCAATAGTTTTAGGGTAAACGACGTTAGACGGATAGATCTAAATTCTAAATGACTTAGCTTGGACGTCTGAGTCTCGCCCAGGTCAGGTATGAGTATGACCTCAACCCTTAGACCATATAGTACATGGACTGCTAATTGTAACTAAAATATGGTCAAGGACATCGCCTGGGTATGTGAGTTTCAGGGTAAACGAGTCTGTCCGAAGTTGTACGATTAGAAACGATTTGACACTGTCAACCTATAAATTAACAAACGTCAATTGATTAATCGCCTAGATATCCCAAAAAGAGCAAACCTATCTTTATTTGTGGACGTGTAGAAGATAATCAAGGATATTTAAAGCTTCCCGTACTACGTGGTGACTACAAAAGCTACTCTTTACGCGATCCGAGTGGTGTTTAAACGACTTTAGTTTACCCTGAGATTCACATACCCACGACTACAGTGCCCTCTATCCGTGACCACCCATTTTGTATTGAAAGCATAGGGCGAATAGCAGTCCATGTACTATATGGTCTAAGCCTCAACCAGTCCACCGCTGCCTGGTGGACGCATGTGATTAACAGCGCTCCCTCTCGGTAACGACACTCCGCCAATTTGGGCGAAACCATCCCAGTGGACAAAACGTTGACTCTGTCAAGGTTCCAGGTTTTGATTCGCCCTGGCTCCTTTTCCGACAGCGTTCTTTCAGGTCTTCATGGACAAAAGCACTTCAGAAGCTAAGACCCTGCACTTCGCCTAGGCCTATCTCCTATCCGCCACCTGGGGACGCGCTTGGTAGGCCACCCCTCATCCTGTGTGGTACTTTTGATAGGGTTTTAAATTTAGTATGTTGAAATAGGTTGATGTCGATTGTGCATCTTATATTGGAAACCATTGTTTTTGTTTTTTTTCTTTCTATCAAGTATTAGGTCAAGTGGTAGTATGTACTCACAGGCTTCTGTGTAGCAAGCGGTTTGCCACGGTTAGGTGCCAATTGAGAGAGAGAAATTTATTTTAATCAATTTTTAAAATTGTATTAACAATAATTATGTTAGTGTGCGTTTACAATGAACGTATACGTAAATATTTCATAAACTGTAACTCGTACATATCCGTATCGTTTCCGTAAATTTACTTCGCTGTTTACAATAAACCAAAGATCATACTACAAGTAGTATGATATTTGACCGTACGTAACTTTTAAACATTTTCAACCTTTGCGACTATGCGCAAGACTTACATATCGCTTACATATACGTACGTAAAAATTACGTTCATTGTAAACACCTTCGTATGTTTCTATACAGTTCAACTTTGCGAAATTTTTACGTTTTATGTATTTCTTACGTATACGTTCATTGTAAACGCACACTTATGCTAAAATATTGCCATAAAAATAGCCATGTTGCTTTTGTTCTAGAATCTGCAGAGGCCTTGTTAAAAAATGATTGTACCGACAGTTGCAATACCTCTAAAGAACTAAGTACGAGGTTGTCATCTTGGATTAAAAATGTTCCTTTGGACGACATAGAACGCGATATTGCACAAACTGAAAAAAACTTAAAGAAATTATCACATTTATTGCGACAAGTTGATCCTAAATCTGGAAATGCGAGCAATTTAGAGGTAAGCCACGTTTCTTTGCATGGCATGTTACTCTTCATTCAATCAGTGCGAATCCTCTGCATATTGATGCATTAGTACTACTGATCGGAAGCTCAAGAAGCAAGCAGTTAGTGTTCATTGTAATTTTTAAAGTCTTGATTTGTGTCACTCCTTATTGTAGCCTTATGGAATCTGCAAAAAGAAAAATTGGCTCTAGAATTAACATTGTAGCGTACATAATATGCTAATTGGCAATTTACCACTATCTGTGATAAATTGTTAGTTGCATTGATAAGTAATGGTTTGATTGGTATTGCTGACATATTACTTTTAAAAATATTGTTTTATGTATTCGATTAAATATAAAAAAATAGAAACAATAGACAGCTCATTTGCTAGTATTATCAATGGACTTTAACTGAAACTGCTTGAACTTAAAAGCACTAATTCACTTGGATTGGCATAGCAACAATTAATTACAGCTTTGAAATTATAGCTATTTTACTAAACGTATGTTTGAATTTTTAGAGAATTTCAATTAATAGCACCTGTTCAACTAACTTAGATGTAGCTGGAAACTTTCTTCAGACATCTGAGCCGTTAGACAATCAAGCTTACGAAAAAATTTACGGTCTTTCTAAAGAAGGTAAGTCATAGCTTTTGTATGCTACTCTTATATTTTTTTACCAAAACTGTAATTCTAGACCGTGGATTTCAAATGATTATGTTTGAGTTCACCGAAGCTTGTGCTCGCATGATTGTTTCATGTTTGTATAATGGAATTATGCTTATCAGACTTTTCTTAATGGATCTAAATAGTTTAGTTTCCTATGTTTTCTATTCCGTTTTCGTAAAGAAAAATTGTCGATTCGATTGACCACCATCTCCAATATTGCAAAATTGCAAAACAACTTTCAAAAATGTGATGTAATGAATAGAAAAGTTCATGAAAAGTGAAACTTTCGCCCGTGAAGTCCCTGCTTATCACGAGGTGACAGATCAAAATTTCGTTGACTTTTTTTTGCCCATTTAAAAAAGATTTTTAAAACATGCTTTTGTGTCACTTTTGTGGAAACACAGAAACTTATGGCCGTTGAAGTAACAACTGAAAGAAAAACACCAAGAAGTCACAATAAAACTTTAATAAAACGCGGCAAAGCTGTCATCATCAACCAACAACCAAAAGAAAGTTCTAATCTATTTCTATTTATTGCCGTGTGCAATGGCATGCTGTCACTACGTCACTCATAAAACACCTGTCCAGCTAGCTCACAAATCATAACTGGTACTTAGAACATTATAATCTCTCCTCGTATAATCCGGCATCTGCTATAAGAAAAATACCAATATTGGCTTAAAATTTTTCATATCGGGAGACTCGGTGACCTCGATCAAATTCATTACACAAATTTTGATGAACACCTCAAAAAATTTTGAGCACCAAAAGAAAAATCTATCATGAGAACTGTTATCTGGGTCGCACTTTGGATTCAAATACACACATAATTGATTCAGAATGACAAACATTTATTCCGAAACACATGAAAGAATGAAGACAAAATCCCTGAAAGAAAGAAAGAAATGCTTACAAACCTTATTTGGACTTATTACCCCGCACGCGGGCGGTCGACAATTAAAATTTAAAAAATCTTGAATTGCTGACAGTTTTCTCTTAATAATCCAAATAACCTGGTGGTAAAAGGTTTGCGATACAAGGCGCACTTAACTCACACACAAATGCTGACAGCTTATGAACTTCACTTTGCTTTATAACACAGAGTTAGAAAACAAATTGAAAACTGGCTTGATGAATAAGATGACAAATCTTTTGTGGTTTTTCGACTTAATAAGAATAGAAACTTTCCCAAATCGGACAAACGCGCGTTAAACTTTTCACACAACTAAAAGTTAACTTGCTTTTGCACAAATTTATTATAAATAATGACGAACTGCATCTTCAACTAAACAAATAAGGTCGTACGTCCGAAAATTTAGCGTATAAAATGTAACCGTGACGAAATCAGCAGCCCCGTGTTCTCGTTGTCTCTAGTATTTAAGGGAACACCACTTCTATCATAAAATAAACTCCTGCTTCAAGAATAAAAGATAAATAAAAATGATAAATCACAACGGAACGCATCAAAGCATCCCCACTTCGCCAAATGAAGCGCGTAGTAACATCTACATCTCCTCTGATGACCGAAAAAGCACGTGCGAAAATTAAATTTCACCTAAAAATAAAACTTCTTGTCGCAAACGACCAGGTGAAACCTTTTATAAAGGACATAAAATCGACCAGATGTGTCTCACTTCTGCCACCTTCTCTAAATTGAATAAATCACAAAAGCGATAAAATTAAAACGAAAAAAAATTATCTGATATATGTTGAAGAGCTTTTAAACATAAATATTTTAACCCTACATTGTCTTTTTAAATACTACGCCCCGTACATACCATTTACAGTGCGTTCGAGATTAGAGGGTCCCTTCAATACCTGTTTTATTTGGCGAAAAAATTGTCAAATATAATTTTATATGTGACATTATGATCTGTCTTATCTCATATGCTAACTTTCTGTATCATTTCCGGTCTAACCGGAAATCGATGTAACTTTTGTTTTTCAAATGCAATGTCTATGTTTTTTTTACAATATTTGAAAAGCCTTACAGCACACGGCATGCTAGATTTCATCAATTTTTTAAATATTGAATAACGAATTTCCCTGAATTAAAGTGGAAACCTTTTAAGGGTTGGAAGAAAAAAATTGCAGTTTGAATTTTTTTAATACTAATTTTGTATTCATTATTTTCATGTTGTGAAAGCCACATATACGAATTTTTTTCGTTTCGTGGACTCACCTTATATGTTATGTCTTCGTGTTTAATAATTCAATATGTTTTGTGGCCATAGAAACGATACCTCATAGATAAAAATTCATTTGTTCCACTTTCAACATTATTTGCTGAACATTTTATAATTTTATTGACGTATATGTTAATATTTCCATTTTGGTTGTTGCAGTATTTAGTTCAGTTAAAAATGTGGTTTCGGTACTGTCAGTAGAAAAAGATGCACTAAAAGAAGTTTTAAATCAAGAAAGTCATTCTTTAGCCAATTTTGATCTAAACGGTGAAGTTATTACGGGCCTGAAGAATAGCCTCAAGGAAGCGCTTCATCAGAATACGGAGTTAAGGCGTCGCCTAAAGGCAATACACGACACCTCCGATTCCTCGAACATTTCCCATTTACAACTCGTAATTATCAGTCCTTAGCTAATTTAGTTTAGTGTGTAGTTTTCTATTTCAGAAGCAAAACTCTAACTCTTCGTTAAGCGGCAACTCTTCTTGTATAAGTGCTAGCGAATATTTTGATGCCGAAGATTTACCTAAAGATGAAGACAAAACGGAAATGGCGAGTGGCGATTTTGAAATTCCTCTATCGACCAGAGGTTCAGATACCAGCTCGGAAGCTGGTTCTTTTTCAAGTAATGAAAGTGTAAGTTCGGGATCCGAAGGTGAAATGGAGTTTGGACACACAAGTGAAGGTCGGTAATAATAATTTGTGGTGTATACTGAAAAAATGTTGTAGGAAGCAAGGGTCTTACGGGCAGACGAACTATTCTTCCCGTACCTCGTCCTACTACAGAAGGACTATCATTGTGGAATATTTTATATAAGAACATCGGTAAAGATCTCTCACAAATAAGCATGCCAGTCGCGTTAAATGAACCCCTCAATATTTTGCAAAGGCTGTGTGAGGAACTGGAATATTCTGAACTGCTGGACAAAGCGGCGGAAGTTAGTGATCCATATGAGCGTATGGTTTACGTAGCGGCATTCGCGGTGTCCGCCTACGCCAGTTCTTACAGCCGCGCTGGAAATAAACCGTTTAATCCGCTGTTAGGTGAAACTTACGAGTGCAATAGGGAAGATAAGGGCTTTCGTTTTCTCGCCGAACAAGTATCTCACCATCCTCCTATTAGTGCCTGTTATGCGGAAAGTAGAAATTTTATATTTTGGCAAGAGGCGAGAGTGAAAACCAAATTTTGGGGCAAGAGTATGGAGTTTCAGCCTTTGGGAAAGGTGCATCTTTGTTTCCCTAATAGTGGCGACACCTACGTTTGGAATAAAGTCACCACTTGTGTTCATAACATTTTTAGTGGTCAGCGATGGGTGGATCAGTATGGGGAGTTGCATATAACCAATAACCAAATTTCCTGCAAGCTCACGTTTGCAAAATCGAATTATTGGTCTTCAAAACGTCATGAGGTTTGTATATTTGTAGATTTCATTTTTTGTAAGCAAAAAGAAAATGAAATAAACAAAAATCATCATTATATCAACAATCAATGAAACTTCTTTGTACGCAATGCCTAAATTCTACTAATTACCCCTTGATGGTACTTCTTGACGTGTGGACCCTCAAATGTTCGGTGATCTATGACAGATATACGCAAAGAACAAACTTAGCGCTCTTTATCGGTTACTGACGCGTGTGTGCCTAAAGCACGGGATTCGAGAAAAAGGACCGGCGTCACGCGCTCGACCGTTACTGCTGGACAAAGACTCGAAACCTTAAGTGATACAGTAAGCTATCATAGTTAATATGCACGAATTAAAAACTTGAAAAATTAAAACGCAGCAGTGCTAGTGGGTGAATTCGAATTTTATAGAGATCCTATTGTGAAGAGTTCAACTTTTATAATGTACTACATGACTCATAAGCGACTTGATTGCATTCCTCACTAATTATATAAAACATCTCAACTCGTCGATTGTTATTCTTGTTTCAAATTAGGTCATATTTCTTGGGAGTGTAGAGTGAGAGTTCAATTAAAAACCCTTCTTTGGTCAGGTTAGCCTTGGAAACAATAGTAATCACTCAACTGACGTTTTACAAGGCTAGTTGTGTTTGTAAACGTCACACTGATCAGTTCCTGTCATTTGCATTTGACAGAGATTTATAGTATTGTGACTTTAAAATGGTGTTTGTTGTTAACAATCATGCGGTCATTTTTTTTTTTCTGAAGGTGTGCAACGATTGCAAATTCATACGCGAATGCAAGCAGTGGAAACGCATGTTTTGCGTATTCAACTGTCAGCCTGTCAGCAAGTATGTTGGCAATTTGTTCTTTGCGTATATCTGTGGTTCTACTGATAAGTGATCTGGATCTTTCGTTTGTTGGCATACCTTTATGAGAGTTTATCACGCACATTAATATTAAATCTTATACTGAGCATATACAAGATGTTGTTTAATCATGTCACTATGGGGGAGTTGAATGGAAGTGCCCCAGAACATGATCGCGACTGTTGAATATTCCAAAGAGTTAACAGCAATTTAAGAAAAAACTATATCAATTGGATAAACAAGTTGTAAATCAGCATATGCATGATTAAAGCGCATTTTTGGTAATACCTGTGGTAATACCGATTATTATTATATTAGTGAAGTTTAAAATTATCGATCTCACAAGTAATTTTGGCTGCGTTAAATAATTAATTTTATTTAATTGCAATTGAGGGCACGTCTTTATTTTGTAAAACAAATCACAAAGTAAATAATTAAGTTTTTATACTGGTAGCGCTATCTAACGGTAAAATTATAGCACCTCCGAAAACCATATCGAAATTATTTTTTTCAATTATCGATCTCACAAGTAATCTAACTCAAAATAGACTAGAGCCTGCACATCTACACTACAGCAGAAAGCTTTTAGTGAAAATTTGAAGTCTCTCAGCCGGCCAGCCAGTCATAACAAATATAATAGCGTATTTTTTCAAAAATGCGCTAAAAATAAATAAATTTGTTGAATATTTGTTTGATGTTATCAATTGAAGTTTCTAATGTAATAGCGCGAGTTTTTAAATTAATGAGTGGAAGAATGTTTTCCGTATAGGCAAGGCTGTGTGCAATGGCATGCGGTTACTACCCCACTCACAAAACACCTGTTCAGTTAGCTCAAAACAAATCAAAATTAAAACTTAGAATTTGATCATCTGTCCTCTTACACTTCCGGGATCTACTATAAAGAATTGACTCAATTTGAGGTACTCTGACTTCGATCAACTTCCAAAAACTCCAGCGAATTTATTACACAAATTTTGATCAACACCCGAAAACTCTATCTGGATCGCACCTTGGATTTGAATAAACACACAAGTAATTGATTCAAAATGAGAAAAATTTATTCCGAAACATGAAAGAAACCAACCAACAAAGAAAAGCTTATAAAGCCTGTTTGGAGACATATTACCCCGCACACACGCGGTCCACAATTAAAATAAATCTTAAATTATTCACAGTTTTTTCGTAATAATCCAAATAATCTGGTCGTAAAAGGTTTGCGATATTAAGCGCACTTAACTCACACACATGCTGACTGCTTCTGAACTTCACTTTTATAACACAGTTAGATGACAAACAAAACTGGTTTGTTGAATAAGATGACAAATTTTTACGGACCTGCTTCTGCACAAATTTATTATAAAAATGATGAACTGCGTCTTCTACTAAACAACAAGGGCTGACTGCTCGAAAATTTAGCGTAAAAAATGTATAGGGTGGCCAAATAAGAATGCGAGGTACTGCATCTGGGAACCTGTCCATCGTAGAGGCTTGCGGTAAAACTTTATTACTAAAACGGCCACGAGAAAAACCTGGAAAATATTTTTAAGTTTGTGCAATGGCCGCTAGGGGGCGTAACTGCAATCTGGAATCTAAAAAAAGTGATGTTTCTATGAATTCCGCTATATTAACCTAACAAAAAAATGTCCGGTCTTTGAAGTTGACAATAATCTGAACCTTTTTGATTGAAATTTTTCTTGTATCTCTAAAAATGAAGTGGTGGGGGGTATTCAAAGGTTTCCGTAAAGAACACCCTGTATCTTCGAAACGGCTGAGCCGATTTAAACAAACTCGGGTTAGTTCAAAAGATCTATTCTTCAGCTACAAATATACTATTTGAAGTTTTGTTAGTTTCACATATCACCGCTTGAGGGCTTTTTTCGACATTCCGACAGAAATGGTTAATTTTCTCAAAAAAATTAAATGCATTGGTTTGATTTTTTTTTCATGAAAAGGTAGCTAAATGATGCCTAAACAAGCTCGCGAAAACAGGTGACCCACCACCAGGTTCTTGGGTAAGGCCCTGTGTTGGAGCCGTCCCCTCTTTTGAGGAGCCTGCCCCATTACCGGACCCCTTTTGAGGGCCCGCCTTGTTGGTCCCCTCTGACGAGGAGCCCCGAAAGGTTTTGTTAGAAGATTCCATACAATTCCCACGAGTAGTGCGGAAATGCGGTCTCACCTGGGCAGAGCCGCTTGCCCAGGGCTTGGCTGCCAGCCCCTTCCCAAAGGAAAGGAGCCACCACTCGGAGGTCGCCCGGTATCCGAGGGGCACCGTTATCGACACTGCACCCCAGTGCCACGCAGTCCTCGGCACGGTCGCTAACACCTTGACTTGGGAGGTTGGTCCGCGGCGACGACCTTCGTCGCTACCAGCCTGGGTTTTAGCCCCGACGAGCCACTTATAATCGTCACTACCCACACCGAAGCACGAGTCACGTACGATCATTCAGGTGTCTGTATGGGCTTTCCCCTATCCGCCACCCGGGGACGCGCCCGATGGGTCCCTAACCACACGGGTCAATTACCACTAGCTTTGATAATCACAGCTTGAAAAAAACGTTGACCAGTTGTGTGTTAGTTAAACGATCTGATCCAAATTGAGCAATTTAAAAGCGATAGCATTAAAACGAAAACTACGCAATTACAAACAATTCTAAAAGGAAAAACAAACACTGAAATACAAATTCAAATGAAACGAACCAACTCTGTGCTTATTTTGTAAATTTACTTACTAAATTGAAATACACTCATATACATGATGTCTCAACATTATTTTTGGTGTGTAGGCCGATATAACGTCTAAATGATGTTTACCCAACAATATGTATAATGTAGATACCTATTCAGGCATTGTTACCTATCAGTTGAGAAATTAGAAATTAATGATTGGTCCAATGTAGTGTTTCGGGGCTTTGTGCATGCGGAAAGAAAGCTGTAACTAAAGTTTGGTGCTTATATGGCAAATCAGTTTCAAATGTTTGCATCATCAACATATAATAAATGGAATACACGTGCCAATGCTAAGCATGGATACTGCAGGTGAGAGAGAAGGGAAAACTAAGAGGGCAAACTGTCTCGTACAGTTACGCATCTGATTGGTTCTTTCAACAGAAGCGATCGCATTCGCACTCAAATTATATTGAAAGAACAAATCAGATGCGTAACCGTAAGAGACAGGTTGCCCTTCTAGTTTTCCCTTCTCTCTCACCTGCAGTATCCGCGGTTATCATTGACACACGCAGTCCATTTATTATATGTCCATGGTTTGCATGTCACAATAACACATTAGCTTGTTGAATGTTTGAGACACAGCGTAATTTTAAGTAAATGTCAACAGGTAGTGGGAACAGTCTGTGATGAGAATGGCAAACACGTAAGAAACCTATTTGGTAAATGGTCCGAAGCACTATACTGCGGTGTCGCACCATCAGCGAGATGTATATGGCGTGCGGGCACCCTACCACCAAATCACGATCAGTTTTACGGTTTCACTCGTTTCGCAATCGAGTTAAACGAATTGGAACCGGATTCACATCTACTTCCACCGACCGATACTAGATTGAGGCCCGATCAACGCGCACTCGAACTAGGAAACTTGGCGAAGGCCGAACAGTTAAAATTACAATTAGAAAATGCCCAAAGGGAACGGCGAAAAAAGCGATTGTCTCAAAATGTACAGTACCAGCCTCAGTGGTTCTCGCAAAACGATAATAACGATCACACTAATGACGAATGGTTATATAACGGTAAATATTGGGAAGCACGTAAAAGTGGAACGTTCTCTGAGTTACATTTTGAATCTTTATGGTAACATGTAGATTCATAAAAGTTGACTATGTAGCTAGGTTTTAATTGTGGTTTAAGGTTGTTAATTTCTTGAGGTGCCTAAAAATACTTTTTTTACTAATTTAGCTAAATTGTGACAGTATTGTTTAAAAAAAATGTAAATTGATAGGCTTTTGCAAATCTAGAAAAATTGTTGTATTAATTCAACTAAGTGATACAAGTTATGCTATAATTTAAAGAAATTTTTGGTTTGTCCGTTTGTAATACACGAATTAATATGCTCGAATTTCATTCATTAAAATGAGCTAAAAAAAATGAAAAGTTACAGTTGTATGGTAATTAATATTTATTACTATAGGGAGTGCGTGCAGATCACGTCACCATGTCTTTCTCTTGCTCCCTAGTGTATACATTTTTAATCTCTGCTGAAATTTACAAGTATTAATAGATAAACAACTTTAAAGAAAAATTATGACTGAAAAAAAGTTATAGGGTATAAATGGGGTGCTTGAGTTTGATGTTTGTTGGTGCTACTTCCTTGAAATGGCTTGACACATTTCAAACTCTTGTTCCTGTAAAGCAGAATGCTCATTAGGGAACTGTTGCATGTAGCGTACCAGTGACAATGTCATTAATGTTCAGTCATTGCAAACTGCTGTTGTATCCAGTATGGCCACTGATAAGGATTGTTTGTTGGTTTTTGCTGTGAACACAAAAAGTCGCCTAGTGTTAATTCTGTTATGTGGACATGCTTGCGAACCGAACTGTACAATAAACAACAGCTATGTGGATCTAGAAAAAATAAATAAAACAGGACGCTTGGCTGCCTGTATGGAGGCCACTGTTGACATTTATAAACAAAGAACTTCGGCACCTTGACAAGCACTTACTGCAACAGTTTGATAGTGGGTACGTGGCTCTATAGTCTAATTCGCTATAGACAAATTCTGATGCAAAAATAATGATGAAAACATAATTTAACCACTCTTCCCACGACGTTACTGTTCTCCAACTGTGCAAGGGAATTTTCTAAAAGCCATTTCTAACATGAAGCTGCTGTTGCTGGGATAATCTTCAGAAACTTCAATACACAAGTGCTGAAACAAAACACACATCTCATATTCCAATAGTAAATTCGTTTTTCAATTAAGCAACAGAGAGCCTACATGACTAATCAGTGTTCAGTGGTAATAGGCCTTTCAAATAGGTACCGCTAATTACAAGCGAGCAAACCAATTTTGATCTGACTTTTATATGTGTTTTTTACTCTTTAATTGTATAGTTATGAAATTTTATTTTTTATTTTATTTTAGTTTGTTTTAAGTTTTGTTATTCATGAGATTTTTCCCATTGTGTTACAATTTTAGTATAAATGTTTGATGCTTTACTGTTAATGTTGCAAATTAAAGTTTTGCAGTTTGAAAACGTTAGAAAATGATGTAAAACAACTAATAAAATATTTCTGTAACTACTTGTCTGGTTTTAAAGTTTCGCCCTTTTTCGTAGTTGATAGCTGTAAACTATCTTTACCCAAAATCCTTATGAAACCTTCACTGTCAGGAAAATTTAGTTTCTATGACGGAGGCAGACTTAGACCATATAGTACATGGACTGCTATTAGCCCTATGCTTTCAATACAAAACGAATGGTCACGGATAGAGGGCACCGTAGTCGTGGGTATGTGAATCTCGGGGTAAACTAAAGTCGTGTAAACACCACTAGGATCGCGTAAAGAGTAGCTTTTATAATAACTGCATAGTACGGGAAGCTTTAAATACTCTTGATTATCTTCTATACGTCCACAAATAAGAGTAGGTTTGCTTTTTTGGCATATCTAGGCGATTAATTAATTGACGTTTGTTAATTTATAGGTTGACAAACTCAAATCGTGCCTAAGCGGACAACTTCGGACAGACTCGTTTATCCTGAAACTAAAATACCCAGGCGATGTCCTTGACCATTATTTCAGCAGTCCATGTACTATACGGTCTAAGGAAGCAGACCAGGCTGCTTTTTCTGCCGCTTGTTACTTTACCGGCAGCACCTGTCACATTGGTATTGTCTAAAATTACAAGCCATGCTGAGAAGTTTGGCAATGTTTTCCGAAAGTCAATCGGTGGGGCGATAAAAGTTTTAATGGCGTCTTGTTGCTCTTGAAAAATATGAAATGCTCTGTGTATACAATAATCATGAAGTTTTCGATTTTGCCCATTCTGCGCAGATGCGGTGAACAGGGATTTTACACACCGAAGCTTGACAAAAAAGTTAGCGCGAGTTAACAGTGTTCTAATCCGTAGCCTACTGATAGATCTAGCCGTGACATTGCTTTAGTGACGTCACAACTGGAGATGGGCCACTGCAACGCGATTCTATGTGTTTAAATGCAATTTGATTTGCGCGCGTACTCATTTAATGCCAAAACATTTAGTAATTACTTGTTTTGAGCCGCAGAATTGTTATATGTTTTTTCCTAATTATAGACACGTGTAATTATGCAAAAACTTTTATTAAATACGTACATAAACAACAAATACTCACTGAAAACAAATAAAATTTAAACATTCTATACACACATCTGCCATTTTTTGCCTTACACAACGAAGTTGAGGTAACGCTCATGTGCTCGATTTTCCGTCGTCTGCCTATCTGTCTGTTCCATCGAGATCTCGGCCCCTGGACCACCTAGAAACTACGGGTTTTCGGTAATTTGTAGTTGCTAAGGTCTATATTTTCCCGTTACTCATCATTTACATCCTTTTCATATGTGATGGCTCATTTTCAAAAATGGTGGGATACGCGTCTTCGGCAAGTTTAATCTGGTCTCGTGGAACTGTTAATACTGTACCGTCTTGCCTAGTCATCTTATCTACCCGAATAATGAAAATTTCGGAGAAATGCTTTATACAAACCCTGGAGTAGGTAAATAGTAATTTCGAAATTGTGAATACTAGTGAATCATCTTAACCATTTTTTTATTGTCTTCATTTTTCGGAAAACGAAAAACCGTAACCTTGTCTCTTGAACTATAATTGCTTTTGCAACCAGGGACGCAGCACGTATTTGGCATTTTCTTACTTATTCTGTTCGAATACATTTAATTTAAGTATACAATATTCAAAAATAAGTTAACATAAACCTTACTTGGAATTAATTACATTAAAAGTCGATATGACGGCCGCCGTCAGTTGTGACGTCAACGCAATAGTGGGGATCAGTGTCATGGCTAGTTCTATCGGTAGGCTACGTCTAATCCGAGCCGAGTTGGTGTAATGGCGGGTCTAGCGTTTATTGTGTTGTTTTGTTTGAAAACTGTATTTACAGAAGTAGTAGTTGTTTAATTCTTTCTTATACTAACCATTGAATAATGTCAGCACAATTTGTTATTGTTTACATTATGCGTAAAATACGGTAATAAGTTAGGCAACTACCATACATACCTATTGAATTTAGAAAAGCTGTAGTGTTAAATTAAATTTGCCGCTTTCATTATTTCCCCCACCGATCTTGTACTTGTATGACTATGATGCGCACCATGCGCTCGCTCTCTTCTCGCTGCTGTATGTCAACTCACAATGCACTAATAAAGTACTGCTCTTTTTGTTATTACGCTGCCTTTATTCACAACCCCAAACTTAACATGTATGTATGCATTTTTAAAAGAGCACTAGCTTTCTACACATACACTATACAGAATTTACCCAATCCACTTGACTATGCTATCACAATTATGACTGAAATTTCTGTTGTTTGTTTTTATAGCGGTTATATGTTTGTTTTCTTTACATTAATTGTTCGTGATCACTTTTTTATGTGGTCGTTATGTCTGTCTGTTCCTTGTCTAACTCGAGAACGAAAAGAGACAGCGATGTGTGAAACCTTCGCCAATCTATTTTACGAGTTCAAGAATCAGTGCTATTCAATATGAGCCGGATTAAAAGTCTGGTTTCTGAATGCGACCTAAATGGCAAAAAATTCCCCTCCTGAAAATCGTATGTACGATTTTTCGTATCTTGTTTGTGTTTATTTTATTTTATTTTGACAAGATGTAAATACCGTGTAGCATCATTATCATAAATAAATCATTATTATTATTAGTATTTTGTTTGTAACTGACTCATGTGGTATGTTTCACAAATCACATGAGAAGGATCATAATCAATTCATGCATGTTGTATAGTGTGGTGTTTAATGTCCTTGATTGACACTTTCTGGTCATTTTTGCGGTGCTTAGTATGTAATATGGCCTTCTTAGCTGTATGTTTGTGTGTATATGTGCTGCGTTGTAGTGCTTGTAAGTGATGTGTAAATATTTTTGTTGTGAGTGAGAGTACGACCGGTACATCGGGTGCCCAGCTGTCAGACGAAAACACGTCGTGCCTGCGCATGACGTCACTCTAGTTACATTTGTCACGTGATCCCATAAAGATTCAATGGTGGGCCTCGTTTTCGACGTATAATCTGCATTGTGGTGCATATTATATTTATCGTACGTACAGGAATATGTGTAGTTGATAGTCCTGCATTGCAAACACTCGAGTTTTTGCGTCTATTAATAGCGAATACCTTTTATTTCCGCTTTCATTACACCGCGAGGATACCGAATAAACATTTAAACGATAATGCCTGGTTGCGCGAGTGCAAAATGTAATAATTATTCACGAAAAACGAAGGGTTAAGGTGTTAAATACTTCGGAAGTGAATATACGTATGCGAAAAAATTTTTCTATTTCGGTGTTACAATGAGAATTTTGTGCAACTGTTTTCGGCAAAAACAGTGTTTCAATGAGTTCAATTGTAACATTGTTTTTGGTAACTTTTCATCTCTAAGTTGGCAGTTCGCCAAGACGTCAACGTCAAATCATCAGATGTGAAATCAAATTACATACGGAAAATATATGCGTTTTCCTTGATTTTTGGTACACGAAGAACTTAATACATTCCAAATCAGCAGTTTAGACATCCACCATAAATAAATTTATCTACGAGTAAATTTAAAGTTTCCAAATGTCAGTGTTGTGTTTATCTACGCTGCCAACTTAAAATTTGTCAACGTAAATGGTGTTGCCAACTTAAGACATATTAATTCTAAAGTTTCTTGTAGGTTTTGATAATTACTTTTTAATTAAATTAAAGCCCCGAAATAGAAAAAATAGTATGAAAAACACGTGTTACAATGCTTTATTGTAATACTCCTATCTTGTGGACACTCGTGGCTCCGCTTCGCTACGCCACTCGTGTCACAAGATAGTCGTATTACAATAGGTCGCATTATGTAATACTTGTCTTTCAATATACTATTATTGCTTCGATCATTTAGATATACGTGAGTATATTAAATTATTAAATACATTTTGATTGATTACAAGCCTTAGTCTGCTATATTTTCAAACTGTTTAAAAAATAGAGGTACATGATCTTCGTTTTCCATTCATTACTGTTCTGTGATTCACGTACACGCGCTTGGCGCACCATTTGAACAATACCTCTACTTACATTTTATCTGCTTTGCATTTCATTGTAATGTTTTTGTGCGAGCTTGCATTTGTATGTGTAATATTATATACTCAAATAAACCTAAATTTCGCCGACAGATACACAAATAATAGTGCGTTTCCGTAACCTCTTCCCTATGGATTTGTATACGCGCGCTGGAGTTTGTAACGTGATTGACGTCGCATACGGCGTGGGGAAAGGGGACACGATGCGCGTTGCGATACCGTTTTTATTATACCATGGACATTTTACTTTTTCTTGCTTCTAGAGTTCTTTGAGTTTTATTGCTAGTGGAGTATAGGTACTTTATAATCTTTTTTTGCTCTGTGTTTATGAGATTAGTGTCGTTTGGGATGGCTATGTCTATTAATATAACTGTGTTGTCAATGCGTTTATTAATGAGTAGTGAGAATTACTTATTATTATTATCGGAATCATTTTCGTTATAGTTACTGTGTACAGGTGATTATGTTGTTTTATTAATTATTTATTTATGTACCGGGTGACCCAATAAGACTGTTCCTCGGCCATATCTCGGGAACCGTTCGTCGTATGACTTAGGAGTAAAAAAAATTATTGGGTAAATCGGTTATGAAGAATCGCTGGAAAATATTGTCAAGTTCTAAAAATGACCACCAGAGGGCGTAACTGCCATCTTAAATTTTAAAATTGCATTTTCTTTAAATTTCGCATAATAAACTAAACATTCTTTTTTCACATTTTTAAAGAGAACCAGTTTATCTATCATTTTCGTAAAAAAACTCTGTTATTTCAAAACAAAGATGGTGTGGGGCGTTCAATTGTTTTTGCAATAACCTGCTTTAACTTCTTAAGTTTGACCGATTTTAACAAATTTGGTATGGTTGAAATAAAGAGCATTCCTTGGGCAACAAGAATCAATTTAATATGCTGGCGGCGATGGTTCGTGGTCAATTCGGATAACGCAAATATAAGATGCGGGCAGAGATGGTCGCATTTTGAAAATACTCAAAATAGTCAAAATATATCGCCAGCATATTAAATGCTTCTTGGTTAGAAATCGGCATTTTAGAAAAGATTACAAATTCAAAAACTGCACTTTCTGAATGTAAACAGCAGAATAATTTACAAATTAGGGCTGTTATTATTAGTATAATGCATCGTGTTTCATTTGTTTAATTTTCCAAGGCCTACCTAAAAGTGTATGATCCTTTTCCAAACAATCTTTCGCGCCATGGACAAATACCGGAAATACGTAAAAAGTATAAATTAAGATACAATTTAAGCATTTTAATTAATTAATTAATCTCATTTTCCCAATATTTGAGGTTAGGAATGAGATTTTGAAAAACGGTTTTCACTGGCCTCTTTGGAAGTTATTTGGCTACTTTTTCATAAAGAAAAAGTCATATCATTCCATTTGATTTTTTTAGGAATTTGGGTTATAGTGTCAAAACGAGCCCCCTGGCGGAGAAGGATTCAACTAAATTAACTATATTTTGGTCTCATTGCCCAAGGAATGCCCTTTTCAACCATACGAAATTTGTTAAAATCGATCAAACGGTTAAGAAGTTAAAGCAGGTTACTTCAAAAACAATTGAACGCCTCACACCATCTTTGATTTTGAAATAACTTGAGTTTTTGTTTTTACGAAAATGATACATAAAGGGGTTCTCTTTAAAAATGTGAAAAAAATTTTTAGTTTATTACGCGGAATTTAAAGAAAATGCAATTTTAAAATTTAAGATGGCAGTTAAGCCCTCTGTTGGTCATTTTTAGAACAGCGATTATTCATGACCGATTTACTCAATTTTTTTTACCCCTAAGTCAGATGACGAACGGTTCTCGAGATATGGCCGAGGAACAGTCTTATTGGGTCACCCAGTACTTATTCACGATACAAGTTTATTATGAATCGGTTTCAGTGTGCAGCTGCTCCCCAAAATAAAGAAACCTTTTCTAGCACAATTCATTCCTGTTATATATCTGATGATCACTGCCAAATGTGTTAGGTACCTATTGCAACATTTTACAGCGACGCAGCAGGTTCATGTTTATAACCGATTGATACTAACGGTATACCGGTTCCAGTTATCACAAATTCTTAAATAACGGTTCTCGTTCCAAGTGAAGGGTCTATAAATGAATCGGTTCCGGTATCAGTTTTTTTCAGTTACGGTACCAACCCTTGGATTTTAAAGTGAATTATTAAATAAAAATGCGAAATTATTGCTTTTATTTAAATTGATATGACATTGTAATATGGTAATTATTTTTTTAAATGTGTTCTTATTGTATTTTTGTGTGGGCCACCGAGTTGTTTCAGACAGATATAATAAAGTAAATAATTTTCTTGTTATCTTTTTCTCTTCCCTAATGTGTTTTTCAGAAGATGCTTTGTGCCTCGCATCGATGAACGGCACCAATATTTTTCTTTTGCCTTACCTGTTTCCAACGATGGGAAATTGATTCATTAAATCAATGACGCAGGGAAGACTACTTTCATTATTACATTTACATTTCATTTTTAAACTGAGAGAAATTGCTTTTTACAACTTGCTTATATGTAAACTCTAGCGCAAGTTACTCTCAGAAGTACTATCGCAATTTACTATCCCGTATAATAACTACCCTTAAAATCAAAAATCGATTACATTAACATTAACCATATTGGGTATAGTTGTTATTCAGGAAGTGCGAGTGATCAACCAGACAGGGTTTGGCACTAAGCTGGCTATGGCCCTGATTTTCCCAGTTGATGCTCGGTTGTTGGAGATCTTTTTTTATCATGTCATCTAGAAAATTCTACAAATGAAGACATTAGATACCTGGCAGGTACCATTGAATGAAGTTTCATGAATCCGCAAAGTTGGCCATTACACAATTAGGAGATCATAAAACACAGGAAAAGTGAATTTTCACAATAACAATTTCGCGAACGTAGAGCAGAAAACAAGTTGAAACAGGGTCGGTTTTTCCTAACACAATGTATAATAACCATTTCTTTTTTAGTGCAGCCTGTATATAGAAAGCTGTAGCTAGTAACTTTTCTATGGTAAATTAAAAATTCCCTAAAATCACAACTTTCAAATCAAAGTCAAAACACAATTTTTAACGGTTCGTGAAGTGCTTTCTTATGTTTTAATTGAAAAATAAGCAACAAAATGAATGTTTTCGAGGAACTTGAGGAAATGTTAGATAATACTTTTAAAGAAGTTATTGCTGCTTTATCCACATTTGCTGCAGCTGTAGATGTAAGAGGTAACAACAAGTAAGCAGTGAATAATTTTGTTCTTACAGGAAGAATATGCATTTTTTGATTGCGTAGAAAAGGATATTGAGTATTACAAAAAGGAAGGAATACTAGTCTGTAGCTTTCAAAATGATACTTGTGCATCTAAGCGTTGTAAGTATGATAGTGGCAGTTTATGCTCTTCCAGTAGAATTTCAGTTGGTGGCATTTTAGCAAGTTCACTTAAAGAAAATGTGCAAACTAATGAACGTAATTCCAAAAGACGCACAAGGCGAAATATTGAAAAAGCGAATATATTATCAAACGTGAGCAATCTTGTGGAGCATCGTGTCGATAAACTAGTAGCAGATGTACAAATTAAGATTGAAAGAACATCAAGAGGTATTGCAAATGAAGTTACAATAAAGCAAGAAGGTGATATGCTACCACCTCAAAATAAACGTGTGCCAAAACGGCGAGCTAATGAAGTAAAGTTGGAATGTGTAGGTGATTCTATTATTGAACCTAAAGATTCAGTGGGTGTTATAGTTGGGCCAGACTCTGAAGTGAGAGTCACTAGAGCACGAACGAAAGGACGAGCAAAACCAGAAGTACCGGTAGATCTGGATGTAAGGCAGGTAAAATCTGAGAAAACGCGAACAAAAAGTAAAAGGGAAAAACACGACAGTAAAAGTTCTCAAAGTGCCATTATAGAAGAAGACAAAAATGCTGATCGTTTGTCTCAAAAACAAAATTTAATCAGTGTGACAAATGACGGTGTGGAGACAATACAAGCAGTAGAGTTTGCAGAACAGAATTCAGAGCATGAAATTATCGGATTAGTTGCAGAGACAAATTGTAATACATTTTCAAATCCTGCAGCTGCAGCGTCCACTCCACATAATGTCGATGATCTTACGATTTCAGACAAAGAGAGCCCACAGTGCACATCTCGTCCGAGAAAAGTCACTCAATTTTTCACTCCATCTGCTAGTACTCCTATTGCAAAATGCAGTTCAAAAGCAACTTTATCTAGAAAAGGTTTACCCTCCGAGTTGACTCGGAATCCAAAATTACAAAATTCTTCATTAAGGGACAGTAAGCTGAAATTTCTACAAACTTCCGCCAAAAAGGCAAGCGCGGCGAGAGCAAGAACCGGCAGTGCATTAAAAGCATCTCAAATCGAATTTCGTGAACGTGAGATGCGTAGGAAACAAAAAGAAGAAGAGGCGTCGCGAAAGAAACAAGCTTTAATACTTGCCCAAACTGAAGGAAGACGTCTAAGGCGCGAAGAACGTGAGCTCAAAGTCCAACAGTTGAAGATGGACATGGAAAAAGAAAAGCAAAGGCAATTAAAGGAAGCGGAAAAGGCCAGGGAGGAGAAATTCAAGCAGATACTGGCCGAAAAAGAAGCCCGATTCTTTAAGCAGAAGGAAGAGGCTGCCCGAAAACGTGCAGCTGCCGCCCAAAAACTTGACAACATGCATCAAGAGGATACTCCAAAACTGACCCCTGTTTTCTTGACTTGTCCGGCTCCTTTATTACCGACACCTGATTGTTATGATTCTGATGATTCCACTGGGAGAGGGACGTTCGTCATTCCAGAGTTTCAGAAAAAAGACAACTTAAAAAAAACATTATTCCAAATGCAAATGTTGAATTCGTGCACAAAACCGCTATTTCTAAGAAGTTTTGAATCGCCTAATCTATTAAAGATTTTCCCAGCAATTAAGGCCTCGCAATTAAAACGAACTTCCAGTGCCATTTGGAACAGAACCGAAATGTCAGTAATTGATTCATTTCTTGAGGAGTGTTCTTAATAATTATGAATAAAAAAGATATATTTATTGTATGCCTGTATTGTATGGCTCAATTTGAAGATCGATTTTTGTTTTTCTCTTTATACATTGTACCATTATATATTTGATATAATGGTTTACTTAATGTTGTGAGAAAAGTATGTTGTTTAGTTTGATAAAATAAAATCATGTACGCTACTTCTTGCCTAGCATCTTTGTAATTACCTAGTAAGGCCTCTACCTTTTGATCCAGGTTAGAGATGTTGTCCAAAACTTGTTTGGTACTATTAAAACCATATAAGAAGAGGCAAAAAAGCCAGATGAACCTTGATTTTGTCAAATGGAACCTGATATAAATGGCTTGTGGTGCATTTAATTTAACACAACAATTATCTATTTTACAAGTTTACCTCTTCGAGTGAAACCCTTATTGTGTGAGAATACGTATGTGACAAATTTCCTGGAAAATTTGTCCAAGAGGTATTTTTGGCCCACCGTTTCTGGGATTTTTTAAATGTAACACAATAAGGTTTTAATTTTTGGTACGTGGGTAAAATTAAAAAAATGCATTAAGCCGTTTGTGAGGATGTGGCAAATAGTGCACTTTTAAATTTATTTTTTCGATTTTACTAGCCCTTATGGACATTTTTTCATGCCTTCACGAGAACCTTTAAATAGCATTATGCGGGTCACTCTGTAATTGGGCGCATGCCTGTTGAGGGCCCAAAACAAGAGAGGGATAATAATAAATAATACAAACATTTTTGATCGCATGACACTGACACCAATACCAAGCCTGTAAGTGGTGTAGTTCCGGAGCCTTTGAGACGACAGACAGACATCAAGAACGCAAAAATGCACTTTTTTTTAAAGTGAAAGTGCACTAAAAATATAGGTTGTGATCATAGATAGTAAGGAAAAAGAATACAAAAAATTGACATTAAGCTATGCAGGGAGGGAGTTGTATTTAAAAAATGCCAGCTTGGTGTCAAATCTAAGAAACGGTGGTCCAAAAATTTATTTTTTCTACGCCACTGAATTCTACGTAAAAATATATAGAATGAGCAGTTTACATCTTTTTTATATGGGTAACCTTGTATCTTACAAACGTAGCGTGAGGTTCCACCCTGTATATACTTACGACGATGTACACATTTTTGAGAGCTGGCAACCACACAATTTTTAGGAGGGGAAAGCGATTTGTGCCATCTGGAGAGTACGAACGTTGGTTACGTTTGGCATCTTGTCAGTTTTAATCTTTGTTTTTCACTTGATTTAACCGTAATGCAGAATCACATTTTTGATACCCTTATCCTTTTGTTTGTAATTGTTTACCTTTTTGGTGTAATGCTTAGCTTAATTTATGTTTATTGATTACCTACTTGGTCTTGTAATATTCATAAGTTTTGATTTTTCTTTTAATATGTGGAAATTACCGATTCGTTTGATGTATGTACTGACTTGTTGTTTGTAACTAACATTTTCTCCGTGAATGAAGCAGTCACGGAGGTGGTAAAAACTGTCATCATCATCATTTGAGCTACGAGACCTAATTCCGTGATTATCTTCGACATTCAACTGTAGGCGACCAGGGGCGAGTTATCTATCTTGCCGGAGCGACATTAGCTAATCAAAACTCTTCGGTTTAAAATTTATGTGCGATAAATGTGAGTTATTATGATTTGCCAAGTTCCACATATTTCTGCCGATAGGCCAAGTAATTTTCCATCTTGCTTTTAACAAAAAGACTTTATTGCACCATGTACTCTTAACCCCTTGTTCTCAAAAATTGTTTTGAATCTTGAGTGTAAACATTGTGTATATGCATTTACTATCTTTGTTAACTACTGCTTAAACTTTTACATATTATTTTGTTAACTAACTTTTGGACTGTATTAATCAAACTGCGAGGTTTTTCTACGTCATACTCTTTTTACCATTAGCAGTTACTTTTGCGAGAGTGCGACACTTTTTCACTTTGCTTACGTTAATGTACCTACATCAACTAAATTTCCGGGCTTTCACAATCTTAATAATTGCGCTACCTAAAATGTCTCGTGAACGACTCGCTCAACTAGCGCTTTAAAGTAAGCGCTGCAGCAGCGTACGAAGCGGTGTTTGAGGTTATCTGTGACGTACACTGTATTACTATATGGGACAGAAGTAAAAAACGACAATTGGGACGTAGCGAACTGTTCAGCAGAATCAGCAGCACTTTATAAGCGCTTCAGTCTGGTGAACGCACACATTATTAAAAAATTGTGATTTTTACATTTTTAACGTCATAATAAAATTCTCTAACAAATGACAGAAAAAGTAAAAATTACTTCCATAAGAAAAAAATAAATTGATGATGGCCAACCGGTGACGAAACGTCGGACTTAAAATTTAAAACTAGGACCTTGCAGAGAGAAAAGAGCGGCCATAATAATGTGTTATTTATTTCGAAATATCTTTTTAAAACTTCAGTAAAAAATAAAAATGATTTTGCAAAATTTAGGTTTTTTCCGGATATCTCAGAAAGTTATCGGGAATTTTTCAGTTTCAAAACCTGCATTTTGTTAAGCATCAAAATACGCAACTTTGCCAAATTTAAACTACCTACCTAGTTCCCGAGATCCCCAGGGTGGCCCTTGAATTTGAATCAGCCTGTTTTATGATCTAAATTCTAAGCCACAGATTAACAACAATCTAAGCTCTTGTCACGATCGCTACTTTGACTGCTTCGTCGTGGGCATGCGTCTTTTAGGTGCCCTATGCCCTTTCACCTCAAAATGATGGAATTTTAATTGCTTAGCCATGAAATGACGTGTTCCGCAATGGTCTTTCTTTATTCAATGTCTTTACCATATATGTGGTATATTGGTTGCCTACGTTACAGTGAACGTTTCTCGTATCCCGCCAATATTGATTATGAGAACGAGCAGGGTGCAATAATATTAAATACCTCATATAATGTATAAAATAAAGGATCATATGTAAACAAAAAAAAACGAATATAGGCCCAAAATAAGGGGAACATAACTGCTTATACGGTTACCGAAGTATTTATAATAAGAACTAAGATGTTTAAAATTGTGTACCTACCTGAATTAACGTTTATCAATAGCCGTCGATTTATCCTTTCATGTTTATGGAAGACCTACCTCTCCGCCTATTTACTAATAGGTATATAAAATAACGGAAAGGAAACATTTTTCATTTCATTTATTGGGAATTCGATTAAATACGCCTGTACTCGGAAATTGACGCCGGTGCTTTTCCAGTCGAAGTTGGAGATCAGCTCTCCCCTGGGAAATTCGCAAATAAAGTGCGCCGATTTTCTCCACCGAGTTCCTATCGTGATAAGATAACTGACAATAGTATAGCTTTGTGAATTATAGTTTCGTCGTTGTAAATATTTTAGAATTCCGTAATTAGATAGGTACTAGCATGATTTGGATACATTGGATGCTAGTCCTATGTTTATGTGGAATTGCTGGTAAAGGTAAGTTTTAAAAGTAGGTACCTAATTAGTTTTCATAGCCAATTTCTAGTTAACAACAGGGTATTTCACTGAAATTTTAATTTCTTAAAATCTAATTGTAAGAGAAAGTTATGGACAAAATGTCTTTGATCGCACTTATTCACTTTTCTAGCATAGGTAGGTACCTATAAAATATCCATGCATCTATATCATAGAATTTCAATTCGCAGCTTCCCACTGCAATTTCTGCATTCACCTATTGATTTTCTCACATAAAACCACTATGTAGTTTATTCGCGGGGGCTTAAAGTTAGAAATGAGCTTGTATAGGTACATTCTTTGATTCTTTCAGATTAATTTGCATGTGCTTATAGGTATGATATATACACAGTGAGACCAAAATGTACAAAGTGAAATTTTAAACACGAAAAAGAGCTATAACCTTTTTAACATATACCTATAGTTTAAAATTCAGTCAAACGGTTTGACAGTATCAAGAGGGAAAGGTTTTCACATTTTCGTAGTATATCTCCGATTCCTCTACAATTCTACATGAAATGATCATTTTAACCGGAACTCCACAAATCTGAATGTACTAAAATTTTTGAAATTATTAAGCCTATAATTTGATGTCCAGATATTATAACAACACTAACGCGTCTACTGTAGGACTATTAAATCCTTAAGGAAGCGTACTTTCGAGAGGCATAGTTAATTTCATTGCCAATCAAATAATAAAGAAAGAATCCTTAAAGTTTCAGACATTAGTTTAAACAGAGAATTCCGTTTGAATGTAATATTAAATAAACGTGTAAATAAATAGAGCAAAAAGAGGTCCTGGGTAGGTATGGCTATAGCATGTGCAAAACCAAATTTTGAAACTGGCGGTATAGCTTTATACGCTACAATAATTGACAGCACTGTGACCGGACCGTGACGTGACCGATAATGTGAATCGGACTTGTGTACTTTATTTCTTTTTTGCTTCTGAGGAATGACCCTTTTCGTTCTCCTGTCCCTTTTATAAAAAACAAGCTCAACAACGGAACTCTCGCAACAACGAAAGGGAAAAATCGCAGGACAAATATTTGAATCCTAGCCGTATAAGTTGTGCAAAGAAGTAAGTGAATTGAGCGCTGCACATAATTCGTTCCATCACAGTATATGTACATATATTCGTCAATTCTATCTTTTACTTTCGTTTCATCGTTTAAATTTCACAATGTTCATAACGCGTATTAATGAAACAAAAGTTTGGAATAAAACAATCGAGAAAGGTTTAATTGACAGCATAGGTATACTAAAATTGGATATGATTTGATTGTTCAGTTTTTTAACGAGGCTCTAGTAAAAGATTCGTGGTCCTTAATTAAATTTTTTTTTGGATTTCAGTCCATAGTACTTCAACGGAATCGAATACCAATACCACCCCAACGTCCGATTATGATGACGACTGGGACGAGGATGAGTCGACAGAAATTGACGACGATGGTAGAATTTATAAGAACCCACGAAATTCTCCTAGTACATTATGTCCGCGTGACGAAGAACAAGCAACGTTGTTGGTAAATATGACGCCCAATAGGGAAAAAGTAACTACTAAATATCAAGCAATAGGTACAATACTACACAGAAATGTGTTCACTTTTATATTAGGTAGGTAAGTATACCACCAGTAGAGGACGCCTTTAAGAGGACATTTTGTTAAAAATGTAAATATTTAACTTCAGATGTACACAAAAGTACAAAATGTTACGCAGACAACAAAATAAATGAGACCCAATATTATTCGTCCTGAAAATGGCTCACAATAACAAGATTTTAAAACAAAATTTAATTGCTTCATTTCATTTTCATAATCACGTCTTAAAATGTTTATTTTACAAACAACACCGCTCGGCTTGTTCAAATTAACAAGAGACCCAAAATTTACCGGGTTCATAAACACAAATGACAACATTTTAAAAAACAAAATTACAAACATCTTAATCGTAATTTTCCCCACACTGCCTAATTAAATCTATCCAAAACAAATGTAATGTTCCTCAAACACTGTAGACGACAATAGAAATGAAAATGTCACTTCTTCTTAAATACTATATGATCTTCACGGTATGTGGTTTTCTTGTTGTAATTTAGACGCGTTTCTTAATTGTTGTTTATAATAATTTTCATTGTCTCTAAATTCAAAATGTCAAATAACAGTAATTGAACTCAATAATTTCAAAGACTTGAATGCCGTAAAGCATGGGAATCCATACGCACTATCATAGGGTAAATAATATATATTTACTCTATGGCACTATTTTGCCCTGACTTTAAAAACACTTGTCTTATCATGGAAACAAAATGATTTTAATTATTATCTTTAACATTAACTTTTAACACACCTGTCCACTTTATACAAAAATAATGCCTAACAAATTATCTCCAAGATAAAGAAATTTTACGCAAAGAAACACCTGCAAGTTTTATCATCTTAAATGTCCTGTCAAATTAAATACACAAAAACCAGAATAATTATTAAACAAAAAACGAACAATGTAGCGTGATCAGCCTTCCATTCATGTTATGACAGCAATTTGTACAGTGGAGAGCTAACGTAGGCGTCGATGCGTCTTTCTGTGGTTGGTTTGGATGCGAGTGGGAGAACTACCTGTAGTGCGAGCTTCATTTATTGAGCTGTTTTATTTAAATTATGTTCTTTGCAGGGGCAAAAGTGCTTGAGAAAATGCTCTTCGGACGAAGACTGCAAAAGCAAGAAAAAAAAGTGTCTGTGCGACGGAGCTTGCGGGATGTCTTGTATTAAACCAGGTATGGGCTCAAGTTTTCATTTTATCGCCAGCGTTTTACATTGAGTCTTCTCCAAAAGATCGCGAGTGCCCGGAACCGGAACAGATTTCCTTCGGAAGCGTAGTTGCGAGTGGCCGTATATTTGGCGCACGCGCAACATACAGCTGTCAGCATGGATACCACGTGGTCGGTTTGCAAAGTCGAAACTGTCAAGCTGATGGCCACTGGGCAGGGAGTCCACCTGCATGTAAACAAAACAGTAAGTTTTCCTGTTATCATCCAGATGCAATTTGCAATCAATCTTTGGTTACAGTATACTGCTTATCACCGCCTGCTATTGATCACGCTCGACATAATGCCCTACCAGAGCAAAGCACGTTTGATTTAGATTCTACACTGCAGTATTATTGTCATACAGGTTTTGTCACTAACGGATTTCCTAGAGCAAAATGTTTAGCCATCGACGGGCAGGCGTCGTGGTATGGTCCAGATATATCATGTGAACGTAAGTATTCTGGACAACATTCGGAGTCAAATTGCTCATTATCATTTTCACATTTAAGCCTTTTGGACCATTGTTTTATATTTCCTTTACCGTCTCCTCCCACCAACGTCATGTGTGCTTCAAACCTTGTTGACGTTCTCTTCACGCGTTGTTCAAGTCTCCCTTACACTATACACTGCTATTCATTTAAAACTAGACATAGGGATTTCCTAAGTCAACTTTTAAATGACATTAATGCTTCTGAAAAACGCCTAATTTTAAACAACCCAAATAACATGCTTACGCATTTTGCAGTTATTCTAGATTTTAATAAATACACTAAGTAAATACTTAGCATATAGTCCAGGAGGTAGCGACATTTTTTGTGCACTCATTTCTACAAAGCTGATATTCTGCCATTTTATTGTTTTGATAGTACAAGTAAACAAAACGGTAGTCTACCGCGTCGGCGGTGTTGCCTAAATTTGCAACCATGTTCTGAACATGTTAATAAATAATATGTACATGCCTCATTTCTACAAGAATGAAAGTTTGTACAGTAATTAGGTAAGTATACCTAAAAATGAAGTATGGTAATAGTCTACCGAGCTGGAAGCGTTTGCTATCACAAGTCTACCACCCACGCAAGATGCATAAAAAATTATTATATTGAACTTATTTCTACAAAGATGAAATTTTTGTTGGAAAAAGTTGATGTCATAAGAAACAAAAAAAAAATGGTCTACCGATCGCGTGATGTTGCTAAGGTCTCGGTAGACACGCTGGAAGGTACGATTTTCCGAGCGCAGCTGCTGCACTCTACCTACCTCTAAATTATTATATACACGGGCATAAAATAAAAATATTTCAAAAACAAACATCGGCAATTCACATGGGAAAAAGGTTTTTTGCAGATCGTTGCTCCCCATGATAATTTAGGTCTTAGCGGGTTTATAATGACACCAATCGAAAGAAGATTTTTTTTCTTTATCTAATGATATACGAATTAGTTCATTTTCAGTTGTATTTTTCATTATTAACGATCCTCGAGATTGTTTATAATTTTGTATTGCTGTCTGTCCGTGTGCACGATAACTGATAACTGAATAACTTTGTATAGAGTCCGATCGCTTTGAAAATTGAAACAGCTGTTCTTCAGGATATAAGAAAAGTCGCTATTGTTTTTCGGCTACGTAGACTAACGGGACAAAAAATTACAGCAAAAAACTGCTCAAACCAAAAAGGAGCTTCTTTTATAATTCTTGTTACAAAGAACATGTGAATGCCCGGTTTTCTGTGTTAGTAAATGTCCCTTAAGCCCCAGGTAACTATGCAGATGAATTTAAAAAAAATTGCGCATGCGCAACCCAACTTTTGTATTTGCGCAATCCCAATTTTCTTTATTTGTTATTGTTGTTAATTGAAATTTAAGATGTAGGCACCTCGAGTAAAAGTAAAACTAACGCCGAATCAAAATAGTATATTGAAAGACAAGTGTTACGCCACTCGTGCCACAAGATAGTCGTATTACAATAAAGCATTGTAACACGTGTTTTTCATACTATTTTTTCTATTTCGGGGCTTTAATTTAATTAAAAAGTAATTATCAAAAACTACAGGAAACTTTAGAATTAATATGTCTGAAGTTGGCAACATCTTTTACGTTGACAAATTTTAAGTTGGCAGCGTAGATAAAACACAACAGTGACATTTGGAAACTTTAAATTCCGTGAATGTGTAATTTTTTTACACGTAGATAAATTTACTTATGGTGGATGTGTAAACTGCTAATTTGGAATGTATTAAGTTCTTCGTGTACCAAAAATCAAGGAAAACACATAAATTTTACGTACGTAATTTGATTTTATATTTGATGATTTGACGTTGACGTCTTGGCGAACTGCCAACTTAGAGATGAAAAGTTACCAAAAACAATGTTACAATGGAACTCATTGAAACACTGTTTTTGCCGAAAACAGTTGCACAAAATTCTCATTGTAACACCGAAATAGAAAAAAATTGTTTTGCGCATGCGCAATTTTTTTTTTTTTTTTGTTAAGATTTTTAAGCGAAATTTTGTATCTAGGCTCCTCGAATAAAAGTAAAACTAACTCCGTTTCAAACAATTTGATTTACAAGCTATTCCGATCTGGTGGGACAGAATCAACCCCTTAAGGCGCCTTGTAAAAATGATGGATGCGTGAAGATCTCGAGGATCGTTCGATATTCAGTTGTATCGGATTTTTTTAATCAAAAATTCGTTATTCAATTCGAAATGAATATCAGTTAAGACTACTGTCAATAATTTTTTTGTAACATTTATTCACTGAGGAAAAAGTATGTACTCGTATGATAAACGACGGCTGAAATAGTTAGGTACTGTACGCGATATTTGTTTTCCATGCATTTTAATGAGCGTCCCACTCCGTCTCTGGCAATTCTTTAGAAAATTTTCATGGCTTAACATGATTTTGGTAATTGGAGTTATTGCCGAATTTTGGATAAAATATGAAAACTAAAAACATTAGTTATTTTAAATTTCCTATCAAAAACAAACCTCGAATGACAGCAAGGAAAATAAATTGTGGAAATTCTGTTATTGCCGCGGGCTAGACGATGAAGAATTAAAATATAAAATCGTTTGTGAAAATCACTTTAATTCATGTGATATTTACAAAAGCGGCAATCGAACGTTATTGAGAATCAATTCAATTCCTTTGCCTTACTCAAAACAAGGTAACCATTTTATTTTTTTCGTTAAAATGACTGATACATTTTTTCAAGATTTAAATTACAAAGAAGATACTGCAATCAAACGTTCAAAGAAACGAGAAGTAGGTATTACACCCCATTCAAACATTTTTTGCGAAAACTCCAATTCAACCATAAATTCGACTTTATGTACAGAAATTTTGAAAATGTCCACACCACAAAAATAACCTAGAAATAATATTACATACAAGTTGAAAACTTTGACCAAAACTACGAAAAACAAATTCATAGGCTGAAAACTAAAACATCTTCTCAACAGGTTAGTCAATTAAATTTTTTGCATAGTTATCAAATTACCGGGCTTTTTTTGTCAAAAAATCGTATGGAAACTGGTACTTTTGTTCACGATTTTCTATGAAAAATTTTGACACAAAATAGCGAATGCCAATGATATTATTCACTTATGAGTTATCGTGCACACGGACAGACGAACAGACAGATAGCAATACAAAATTATAAACAATCTCGAGGATCGTTAATAATGAGAAATACAACTGAAAATGAACTAATTCGTATATCATTAGATAAAGAAAAAAATCTTCTTTCGATTGGTGTCATTATAAACCCGCTAAGACCTAAATTATCATGGGGGCAACGATCTGCAAAAAACCTTTTTCCCATGTTAATTGCCTATGTTCGTTTTTGAAATATTTTTATTTTATGCCCGTGTATATAATAATTTAGAGGTACTTTTAGCAGAGCAGTGCAGCAACTGCGCTCGGAAAATCGTACCTTCCAGAGTGTCTACCGAGCACCGAGCCAAAGCAATAATATTCCAATTAATTAATATGAGAAGTTATTTTGGTTGCATAAAATTAGGCGTCCTTCAGAAGCGTTTTTGTCATTTAAAACTAAACATAGGAAATACCTATGTCTACTTTTAAATGAATATCACTATATAATGTATAAATGCTTCAGATCTCTTTTTAGCCCTCTTCACGTGCATTGGTACTTCCGCACGTTCTTTAAGTCTTCACGCATCATTACATCTCTGTCACCGTCGCACCCGTTTCACATCTCCTACACGCATCTTTAAAGCATCCGTTAGTTATATGCTTCCCCTCCATCCTTCACTACACTTACTTTCTCTACTTTGTTCATCTGCACAGACCAATAGAACATCATCTGCTTATTTTGGGCACTAATAAGTAATAACCAATGTAATTATTATTCTCTAATAAACTTACATTTCAGCAAGATCATGTGGACCTCCTAGCGATATCTCACACGGTTGGCATGCAGGAGAGTGTTACACATTCGCTTGCCGCATCACTTATCATTGTGGCGAGGGATTTGAATTGGTGGGTCGCAATGAGCGATTTTGTCAAGCAGACGGCACTTGGTCTCCGAAGGAGTTACCAACTTGTGTTCGTAAGTACCTATAACATGCAAATTTCTGAGACACGTGCTTAAAATTTGTTGCACAATTTTCTCGGGGAGTGTGAGATATATTTTGTTTGTGGTTTTCGTTTTACTGTGATTACAGCAGTGCAATGCCCGCCACCCGAAAATCCCCGACATGGTAAAGCTATTTATACTTCTTGTAGTTACAATTCAGTAGTTAGTTATGAGTGCAAATATGGGTATACTTTAGTTGGCGAAACTACAAGACGTTGTGGAGCTGATAAAAAATGGTCTGGATCTCAACCTGTATGCAAAGGTAAATATGAGTGAGTACACATTTAGGCAGTTTTGTAATGTGTCTGTGTTTGGCAAGAGTAGAAATAAACTGCGGCCATCCAGGAAGATTGTGGAATGGTTGGTTAGAAAATATAGAAGGAGGTACTGGACTTGGAGCCTCAATTATATTTCGTTGTCACGAAGGAACGAGATTAGATGGAAATTCGTCAACTGTCTGTCAGATTGATGGTAAATGGAGGTATCCTCCTCCGAAATGTTTAGGTAGGTTCTTTCTTATAAAAGAGAAGGGTTTATGCTTAAAAATCATCTCCGTTTTCAGCTCCTTGCGTCGTGCCTCAAGTATCTCAAGGAAAAATCAGTTTATTGTCTCGAAATGATACAGCACCATCATCGACTGTAGTACAGGATGGTGAAGCACTTACAGTCGATTGTGAACCGCTGTATGAATTTGCATTAAGTGACTCGCCTGTCGTATGTAATAATGGTACCTGGACTCACATACCCAAGTGTCAACCGGCCAGGTAATGTAGGTGGACGTTGAACGAATCGATCTTCTTTTAAGTTTAGGTGTAAGTATTTGCCAAAGTCACCAAAAAATGGAATGGTGATTGCACCAAAAATGGAACACGGAATGAAAGCCAGATTTAAGTGCAAGGATGGTTTTGAACTGAAAGGAAACACATTTATCGATTGCTCGTTTGGAAACTGGACGGGCGAGTTTCCCATCTGCCAAGAAGGTACTTGCAACATCCACATATTTATAAGTTGCATACCTACCCATTTCAGTATACTGTCCATTTCCTGGCTTGGTAGACAATGGAAAAATTCTTTTGGTCGGAAATATGGGGCTGTACGATTACCGACCATACGTCCGAAAAGTCACCAATAATAAGCAAATCATGTACGATTGTGATAAAGGGTATGTACTGAGTGAAGGGCCACCAGGTGCCACTTGCATTGGGGGTAATTGGAGTCCAAACGAACTTCCAAAGTAAGCTGCAGCGCCACGAAGTATCCAAATACTAAGCATTGTTTTAGGTGCACTCTTGGTCAGCATCCTCGTCTGAGATGGAGTCGTAAAAAACGTCATACCCTCATAACTCGTTACAAGAGGCCAGATATTTTGAGATTTGAAAATAGTACTACCCTCCTGCATGTTAATGATACCATTGAAGGGAATAAAACTATTGTCAAACGCGCTTTGAGAACTGGAAGTACTAGCAGCAGTAGCCGAGCTCTTGGTTTAGGCCTCAAAAGCAACAGAAATCAACCAAACGCCAGACGGAAAAATAAACAAACAAATTTCGACGTTAAACCGGAAAAGAAAAATGGCTGCTTTCCAGTGGATGATGAAGAAACAGTCGAAGCTATTAAGATTATAAAATATGGGTTCGATAATAGCATTCCATATAGTTTTGGAACCGTAATAAAGATGACCTGCAGACACGGATTTGGTTTAAATGTGCCATCGAACATAACAGTCAAATGCTTTCGAGGAAAATGGAAACCAGTGAGGCCCAAATGCCTAACAGGTAGGTTCCATCTTGGACAAGTACATCAGGACTTGCGCATTGTCTTCTAGCACCATGCGCTCTGCCAAAAATTGACAGTGGTGAATATTTGTCGGGATACCGTGAGGGAATGGCCATCGGGAATGGTTCGAGCGTAGCATTCCAGTGTGAAAAGGACATGAGCAATTCGACAGTGTTGCGAGTATTCTGCATAAATCACGAGTTAAAACCTGAGAATCCAACTTGCACACCCGGATACGACTTTAAATTTAACGCTAGCAAAGTTATTCCCTATTATCTCGGTGGAAGCGATATCGTTATAGGAGGCGATATAAACGTCCTCGAGTACGGAGGTACGGGAAAATCTTGCGGACCACCGACAAGGTAATTTGGTTCGCACTTTTGGTAATTAACTTTTCGAGTAAATCAAGTAGAGTTCAAGGTTCTTTGATATATCGCAATGGTGAAATACTATCGGAGAACGATGAGACTTTTCCGGATGATACCGAGGTCACGTTTAGCTGTATTGAAAGTATTGTGGGCGAGAAGACCACGTGGAAGATCATTTGCGACGACGGAAAATGGGTCGGAAGATCTCTTACTTGTGGTAAATATTAAACTTGCTTTACCTATTAATGATTTTGGAAAACTGTTGGCGTTGGGAGTTTTCCATCTTGAGAGGGTAAGACTGTGTGACGGTTCACGTCCAGTTCATTATATATCATTAGAATACATATTTTTTTGGATATTGCAGCTTAAAAGGCGTGCACTTTAAGAATATGTAACAAAAAATAGTGATTGCTATTAAAAAGAAAAAAAGAAATATCTAAATAAATAAGAAAGGTGTCATTGGGCAGTCTGGGCATGGGCACATCTAATTTTTACTAAATGTGATGGTTAAAATGTTATGTACATACTTTAAAGAGCGACAGGTAGCTGAGGTGGGAATATTGAAACGAGTAACGTACACTTTTTCAACAAAGTTTGGCGCGCTATTGCTGTTCATCCGAGGCCTTAACAACTCCTACAGTTTTCAAGATACATTAGTTCGTTCGTTTTGAATCCGGTAGCATATAGCTGACATTGCGCCTCCACAATTTTTGTCTTCAAAATTTTACACAATTTGTTAAGCCCGCTTGACATGGAGCAATAAAAATTGCAATTGCATGCAAGTTGCAAGAAAAATTGCGAAAGGCATGCGCAGTTCAAAGCCAGCTGATCAATTGCTGCAAGAGACTTGCATGCAATTTTTATAGGACAGGTGCTATTTTTCTTGCATGAATCGTGCAATTCTAGGGACAAATCTAGTTGTTTTTGTGTCACCAACCTAGTAAAATACAGCGGCGGCAACTATGATGCTGAGAGACGCACTCATTACTTGTTTTTATTAATCTTATTTATTTTTGTAATTTTTATTACGAGGTGTCGGTTTAACCGAGGGAGAGGGAGGGGTATGGAATGAGTACTTGTTATGGGAGTGGAGGAGTGCGAGGGGTTTAAAAATTCTCAATTTTCAAAAGTTTTTCGAATCGACCTAAATATTAAGACGCTAGATGCACAAGATTTTCAGCATGTTTCAAAGTTACGTATACGACCGTATATTTGCGTATTCAGCAAGTTGTCAGTTCTATATACGACTACTTTTAAACATATATGACGTACTCCAGTACAGCACTGGTAACATTTATCATTAAAAAAGCACTTTAAAGAAGTATAAAGCCCGTGTTAACGGATGAAATCAGAAAAGCTGTCCCTCTGTTGTGGGGGAAAGTGGACCACAAAATCGCAGTTAGTTACTGACTTTGTATGTTTCTTTACCTCTTTAAAACTCCAATTTTGCCAGATAATTCAATTTCAATGTTATGTGTCTATCTATTATACAAATGTACATATAAGCGAGTTGTGGCGGGGTGGTGCATCGCTTGCACTACTACAATGTTACTATGGAAATTTTTGTTGTAGGTTCCTCTAATAACAGCAAACAAAATGACATCGCAATCTGATAAAAAATCATCCCACTTATCTAAAGGTGCATCAAAATTGGGCCCCTTCAAAAATTACCTTAATATAAAACAAGATACGAAGAATCGCATACGATTTTCAGTAGGGAATTTTTTATGCACCGCTCGAACCTTAAATCAGATCGCATTTGGAAACACGACTTTTAATCTGGCTCATATGCAATAGCACTGATTCTTGAACTCGTAGAAATCGATTGCCGCAGGTTTGACATCGCTGCACTCGCTATCTCTTTTTAGCGCATTTCCACAAAAATAAAAAAAATGCGCTATTGTGGCCACTTTGTCCGTCCGTCCGTCCGTTGAGACGCTACTCTTTATTTTAAGAGCTATTGTTCTACTTTTTCGCTACTTGGTTCGTTATGGTGTCGAGGCTTGCACCAAGGAAGGAATTTTTTCTGCGTGTATTGCTAAAAAAGTTATTGTAAAAAAAAACCAACAAACCGTTTTTTACATGTTCCACAATTTTACACTTTTGCCGTTTATTAACGATCCTAGAGATCCTTTATAATTTTGTATTGCTGTCTGTCGTCTGTCTGTTGATCTGTCCGTATGTTCCTTTGTCTGTCTGTCCCTCTATTTGTCCGTGTGAACGATAACTTTGGTTAGAAATGGCCGATCGCTTTGACATCTTCGTTAGTTATGAACTGAATTGCATGAAATTCAATATGGGCATAGCTTTAGCCATATAACACGCAATGCCAAAAGTTGAGTCGAATCGATTCAAAATTCACAGTGCCCTTTTCGCATCTCGACGATTTATAACCGAATTGCAAACTTTTTTATTTATTATTTGAATGAAATTTGATACATAGGCACTTGGAATAAATAAAAATCTAACGCCAGTTTCAAAATTTGGTTTTGCGCATGCGCAGTGCCAACTTTTTTATTTAGAAAAGCATTGAAATGAAATTCTTCTTATAAACTGAAATTGAAGTAGCACGTCAAAAATGGATTGCACATTTGCAACGCTATCTTTCATATTTGTGGCCTGATTTTTACCATTTTAACAGAAGTTGCATCTTACAAATGACAAATGAATGCAAGTGGAAATGCGCTTTTTGTAAATCGTTTACGATTACTTTTTAACTTGTTCTTGAAGTGGAACAGATGGACGGACGGATAAAACGTTTACATAAGGGGAATTCTTTTTCTTTCGAAAAATTCAGAATGCTCAAAACTGATCTAAGGAAATTCCCAGCTCTGTCACAGATGAAAAATTCTTACCTCAGCCCAGGTTGAACACCCGACCTCTGGCTATGTAGCCCAATGCTCTACCACTGAGCTACATAGTCAGTTTCGGCGGTTGTATTGGAGGTATCGTTTCTGATAATGGCATTATGTACAGCTCGTTGCGCCGGTGGGTGAACAATAGGACCTGGGCCACCTAAGCTATGGGTGAACAGCGGGACCACGGAGTTTTCTTCGTTATGAGTAACAGAAGTCAATTGAATTTTTATGATCATCGTGTTTCATTCTGTAACATCTCTGACTACAGGGATGTCTGAGGCGGGCTGCTCAGGCTTGCTTTAAGCTTAAACAACAATCCGCCGGTCGGGACAGAAAATGAACTACATCGCGCAAGTGCATCCTTCAATGGGCACTTACGACCTTGTGTAATTTGAATTGTTAGATTCGCGCCAAATAAATATGCAGTGGCGTAACTTGTGTCATTCCTCTCTAATGAAATGCATAAAAGCGGGAACTGTACAATTCAAAAACTGCCAAATATGTAACATCACAAGTTCTAAACGAGAGTGCAAACATAATCTTGATCTCTACCAAATTTGGTACCAATATGAGGATTTTTGAACAAGAAAATAAAGAATCCAAATTTAGAGCGTTTGAAAATTTAAAAAAAGCAATTCTGGGTACGACAGTCAAAAATTCATAACATTTTGAGGTGTAAAAATGCCATTAAAAATATGACTTCGCTGTAATATTCAATGAACCCTTATACTAAACAAGTATGAATGTCAATAGCGTATTTTCCTGGTTTACAGGCCCAGTAAAATTCGTTGAAATTCTGACCATTACTTTTGTCTGACCAAGAATTGCAGTAGAGCCGCTAGTTTCGCCCTTCTATCTAAGATAAAAAACCCAAACTTTGAGACTGTTGGAGACCCATCTCTAAATAAATTTATCCCCCTAGAGGATTTAGTCATGAACACCTCCTTGACCATTTCGCACTGTCATCACTTCAGCATAGGCGCTTCATCGCATCAATTAAATTCCTGTACAATATTCTGCACAACAACATAGACTGTTCCAAACTTCTAAATGAAATTAATTGGCATGTGCCTAGATTGGCAACTCGAAGAAGTCACACTTTTTCTCTCCCACAAATAAATAGCAACATCATGTATAGGTCTCCTATGTATGCAATTTGTAATAGTTACAATACTATAAGTTCAATCTGTGACATTACTCACTAATCCTGGAAGAACATCATTCGAACATTGAATATGTAACGACCGCAACTAACTAATTTTGTCTGCTTCGAATTAAGTTTTCTTCTTCTCCTAATTTACTTAAACCACCGTATATGTTTATCTTATATTTTTGTATTTTGTATGTAATTAACTTCATATTGTGATTTGTCCTTTAATTGGATATTCTCTTGGGCAATAAATCATTATTATTATTATTAAACGCTAGATTTAAACCCTCGCTTTATTTAGTTTTTTTTTGGGGAGGCTACTCAACTCAGACTATCCATACTCGAGATATTCACATTTGAACCCATGATCGCAACGAAAGATATGTAGGTAATCGAAACGGCGGTTTTGTTATGTCTCTAACGAAATTTGTGCATAAATGTCGATTTTAATTTCAACAAAATCGGTTAGGGCATATCACAAAATTGTATGCGCAACAGCTCAAATGCATCCAGATGGAAAAAAAAGAGTCATGACGTTCTTACCAAGTATGCAAGATAACGTATTTTCACTACTTAATATCAGACATTTGGATAAAATAGGAACATTTTTTAATTCCAGATACAGAAGAACTGATATACGGCCATAATGCCAACAGTAACAATACATGCCTGTTTAGAAACCATGAGGCAAACGTAGATTTCTTTTACAATGACAAAAAGATCGAGGAGCAGATCGCTGAATTTGCAGATGACACTGTATTGGTTAGTCGATGTGTTGATATTGGAAAATTTGCAATGATAGGTAGGTAAATTACTAGCAAGCACACAGTTATCTACTTACATTAGAATGTATAATCACTTCATGTACTGTTAAGGTACAAACATACAAAAGTGCCTAAATGGTAAATGGGATAATCCGCAACCGTCGTGTTTTGGATTGAACCAAGAATTTGATTACTCCATGGAAAAACCGCCGACTATACTATTTCGACATGAATTAGGCCCCATAGCGCAGTCGAACGAAGGAAAGCTGATCGTTTATCCGGGAGTGATTTTACATATGGAGTGCCTGTGGATACGAAGATTTGGTATTCCCAAATGGACAATCGGGCATAATCATAGGTGCGAAACTGCTCGATTCCGCATAATACAAGAGAGTATTTTGCAGACAGTACCCTCAAAGTTGGACTACTGATCCTGGTCGAGATTCCCAGCTAGAATATAGGTTGTCTATATACTATGCGTCAAAAGAAGACTCTGGATTGTTCACGTGTGAAACCCCAGCTAGATACATGCACTCAGTTGAAGTTATTGTTAAAGGTGAATAAACACATCACTTAACAAATGAGCGACTCAAATTTGACATTGAAACTTTTTTTTATTGTGCTTAGTATTTTTGGGTAGCTATCAGATTGTGATTTCTTTTAGCTGTTCACTGTCCTCACATTCCAAAACGTCGAGGATTGACTGCTAGTACAGAAGACACAAAAATGAGCACTCACGTTACTTTCAATTGTGAAAACGGCAACGCCCTTACTGGACCGTCTGAAATAGTTTGTTTGCCATCTGGTAACTGGAATTCTTCATTTCCGATTTGCGAAAGTAAGTAAATCTACAATAATAAGAGGTCCGATCTGAAAAATCATATAAAGTTGATATTTTCTACTAGAAGATAATCGATTCTGATGCACTTCAATGTAAAAAGACTTTGTATGGATGTTGTAATACACATTTTGAATTGATATTTTTGTAAATGTAGGTGTCGAGTGTGGAGAAGTAGGGGGGTTAGTGTCGACAAATTTAACGATGAAAGTTATAGCGAGAGACATCGGTGGTCGTGCTGTTTTTAGTTGCGCACCCGGATATAGTCTTCAAGGACCACAAGAAACTACTTGCCTTTCTAATGGTGATTGGGCGACACCGTTTCCATCATGTGTTGGTAAGTTTTACGTTAAAGGAGTGAATCGGATCTGTGTTTAAAAATTCGAGAAAATATCAATTTTATATTACAATTTGAATGTGCATGCTTGCTTCTTTAATTCGAAATTATGAATGAATGCGTTTTATAAAGTGACCAAAATGGAATGTGATTCGTGCTTAATGATCGTACATTAACAGAAGTTCAATGTGAAAATCCAAAGTCCCCCGAGAATGGATTTTACCATGGGACGGGAGCATTTAAAGTAGGAGACGTTGTGCAATACAACTGCAATACTGACTATGTAATGGAGGGGCAGTCAGTCTCTGCTTGTCAAGATAGTGGTCGATGGTCTGGAACTTTGCCCAAGTGTAATTCGACATTTTATTTATTAGTACCTATGTACAATCGTTTTTTTAGGTATACCAGCATGTTCGTATCCAGGCACTACAATAAGTGGTAAAATGTCATCAGTTAAATTCTACTACAAAATGGGAGAAAACATAACATTTTCGTGCGAAAACAATCTCGTGTTAAAAGGGGCGTCAATGTTAAAATGCTTGAAGAATGGAAAATGGTCCAATACTATACCTACTTGCGAAGCGCCAAATTCAAATCAAAGCTAATTGAAATTTGAAAAGTTGTGGCAGAAAAAGGTCGAATAGAGATAATGTGCTATTAACGTAACTATTTCAGTAGCCGATAGATCTTCTTTCTTAAACAAATCTCGCATCTATCCACAACTTGTATGCGATATTCAGTAGTTGATTCGATTCTTACAAGTAATTAGGTTGATAATGATTGAGATAACAGATGATTGTGAACATTAAAAATGTATGAGCAGATTTTTCAAGAATAAAGAAACTTGATGCATTCACTACCTATTGTTTACTCCTGTATGAAGTGGTGTTATTAATTAGATTCATAATTAATTTTTTAACTGTTTCAAACTTACATACGCATTTTCAAGAATGTGTCGAGTATTTGTTTTGCCGTAATTACCTTTATTTGTGAGTGGGAAGGATTTCATCAGAGACTGTTCTAACAACCAGCTAAACCCCTTATTATATCTTATTAAAATTCCATACTCGAACCTGTATTCAAACCATGGAACCTCTTGGTCATAGTCGGCACATCTAACCCACTAGACCAAATTAACCAACATTGGTATTGACAGCTGAAAGCATCCAACGTAATTTATAAGTTAATGATGACCTCATTATTAACCACTTTGAACATCTGCCGAGAAAGCCTACTTTTCAAGTAGAAAAATGGTTAATAATTAGACAAGCTGAAAGAATAACAGGCGCGCAAGGACAGAATATCACATACCACGCCGCAAACGATCGATAGAACAATTAATTAAAGAAATCTTAATTACCTTAAAGTTTCAATAGTCCAAAATCTCCGATCGTAACTGTGAGTTACAATAAATGATGCACAGACACCTAGGTGATCTTGCTTTGGAACTTCACTTCTCGACTTCAATTATAGCACAATTTCGATCTAGACGACGCTGACTTCGTTTTAATTAAAGGGGTAGTATACCCAAAATCAAAAAAAATGTAGAAGAAAATCTAAGAACAAAATTTCAAACCGGAGTTTTCTACGATGAGTAGTTTTCAAAATATTAACGATGAAAGTTTGAAAGACAGAACATGTGACGTCATCCCGACATCGTGAGTGCGGCGGCACGGATCCAAGCAGTCCGAAAGCGTCAGTTCTTTCATATTCTATTTTGCTTTCCTTTGAAAAAATCAAGAAAACCTTACTGAAGTACCATCCGAACATATATCCTCATATAAATTTGAATATTTGTAATAAATTTCTGTACCCAGCTTAGATTGGATACCTATGCTTTCAGTAAGCGGTATTGGTTCCATTTGATTCAGTTCTTCTGTTTGATTGTGGCATATGTTTGATGTTGAACTGGTTTCTCCACTACGAAATTTATCGTTTACCCACAATAAGCAATCAGACACAATCTTACTTTCTTAGATAAGTTGACTGACGTTTTATAGCTTTATTAGGACCTTTGTTTCCTGTGAGATGTAAAGAAGGGATTGAGTATTGTCAGCCTTCTCAAAACTTTATGCTGAGGCACAGGGTCCTTTTCTTCTTGTATCTTCCAAAAAAATCATCATCTTTAAAGTGGACACTGCAAACGACGTGACTATACTATGATTCAGCGGTTTTTTCTACTTTTCCAGACGTTATTTCGACACGGCTCCTTCTTTTCTCGGGGATAATTTGCAATGTAACATTGGCATTTTTCAAATTATTGTTGCAGCGGAAAACACAAAGTTACGCATTTTTGAAAATAATGCAAATCAGTGACTACCAGTCTCAAATTAACACGTCTAACGTCATCGAATCCATATATTGCTATGGGTACGTTCCACTTAACGCCCGCAACGACCACGACGCCCGGTTGCCGTTCCACATAACGACCACAGTCGTTATGGTCGCAATCGCGACGTCAGATATGACGTCATTACTATCGACCGCAACGAGCCCACGGCGCTCGCCTATCGTACCTGGGTCAGCGTGGGCGTTCTAATTTTATAACCTTACATTCTTGACAGGAGACATTTCTAGAGACATTTAACTGTCAGACACTGATTGTTTGAACACGCATGCGTTACAAATTTTTCGTTTTCGCTATGGAGAAAATATAATTACGTGTTTCAGAACGTAACCTTGTGGTGGACATCACTATGGATGTTCTACATGCACAAACTGGTAAGTATATATGCTGATTCGTGAATGTTAAAGTTATTTGTTAAGGAAAATTCTGCTCTAACACAATTTTCTTTATTGTAGATCTTAGATTTGCAACTAGTTTGCTGCAAAGTGCTCTACCAGGGAATGCGAATAAGACTCGTATAAATGGTAATGCAACGATTAATGAAAATGCATATTAGTTTTGAATGAAGAAGAGAAATTGTTTTCGAAGCAGCATTCCCAGAAGAAATTCTGGGGAGAAGTGTTCATTATCATCGTATTAAGTATGGCCGCAGCATTTATGATAGAAATTCAAAAGTCGTCTTCAATATTTTATTAACAAGAAGCAATATCTTGTGTAAAGCGAAGAAGTATGTGTCAATAATTGGTACTAAAAAATAAAAAAAATTTTACTAACTTAATGTGACTTTTGAATTCATAATCCACCCCACTTTCTATCCTTTACGCATTACGATCTCCTCAACGGCGTCCATGTTGGAAAATTGTTCACTCACGCGTGACGTCACACCGTACGCAAAAGCGTTCCACTTAAGGGTTCGCCTAGACGCCTACAACGCCTCTAAGCTAGTGGAACGACAAAACCGCGGTCGCGGTCGTGATCGTTGTGGGCGTTAAGTGGAACGTACCCTATAGCGCGCCACCGACCCCATTTGTCGGGATGACGTCACAACGACCGTTTTTTACATTGGACACCTTGCCATTTAATAACGAAACGGCGTAGCGACTTGCGGTTTTCACCGTTACCCTTAGATATTTTTAATCTATCTTTAGACGAAAACATGAAATTTGGGTATACTGCCCCTTTAAAACTGTAGTATTGGCCCTTTGATGGTGGACAAAACCCCCTTTAACGGATATTGGGGAACTTCATCATGAACGTAAAACGCTTTCGCAACACAACTTGAGCCTAATGCTAAAACTTTCTTCTCCAAACACGTTGTAACTGGTGGAACTGACTAGCTTATAAAAAGCTTCGATACTGGCAAAACTGACTGACAAATAACGCTCACGAAACAAAACGCCACGATTAACGTGTTCCTCATATATTTAAATCAATTTCCCTTTCTCACGTCCGCGTTCGTCTTTCCATAACAAAATATCTGCGTGTTAGAAAGAATCAAAGAATTAACATCTGTTTATTTCCGCGATAACACGTGCTTAACTTGAAACTACGTAATTAGCTTACGCAGCGATAGGGACTCTTTTATCGCAAACGACCGGAACTTTTACAATAACATCAACTTAATCTTAACACGTAAATCAAATTTAAGAATTAAATAAAATATGATCTGATTCATGTTAATCTAAAAACTACCGACATTTACGCTTTAAAAATAATTGAAATTAAACACACAGGGTGACCCAACATTACTGTGAGTACTGAAACCAAACAAAACATCCGTATAAATCAGAATCAGAACCACTTCAAATTGGAAGATCAATGAGGGGGAACCATTTTATAAGACTAGATCTAAACAAAGGCGTATTTTTGGCCATTAAAAGTAAAAGATTAATTTTAGACAATGTACTTTACAAATTTAATTGCTTGCTTTTCGGACTGTGCACAACGCCCTTTTCACAAACATTTAAAAAACCACTGTTAGCAAAATTTAAATATCTAAGTATTATCATTGAATAAAAACACTATAAGAAGCCTAACCCCGTGGAAATAAAGCGCGACAGAGATTGAACTGAGAATATAATGGAAACACTGTCAATAGTGTCGATTCTTGAACTGAGAAGAATGAGAATTTGCTTTCCTCCTATTTACCGCAAAGAGAGTTCGGCGATCACAACCAATGCGGGTGCAAGGGGATTTGTCGCGCTTTCTTCCATAAGCGTTAGGCTTCTTATAGTGTTTTTATTCAATGGTATTATGTAACAAGGTTGGGATTTAAATTTTTTAGATTTCGTAAAGTTCTGCAGCCTTCTCAAACAAATGTTGGTAATTATGATCTAAGGACTTTAGCTGGTTGCTTGCGATCAACGAAATACGTGCCATTTCTAACTAATCATTATCAACACGTCTTTGTTTTTTTTAAATTGCTCAGTTTACATCCGTTTTAATAGGGGTATATTAAGTGAACGTGGAATTTGCTGAGCGTGCAGGTTCTGAAACGGATTCGTTAACAGCCGTTCGGGATTGGTGGCGCAAGGGACACTAACCAATTAAAAATTTAGACATCGCCATTTTGAATTCGGTAGGCGTAGAAAATTTACTCAGTAATTAAAGAGGGGGTCATTCTGAATTGAACCATAGATTAAAAAAATTTTAATCTGTGGTTGAACTAACAGATAGATGAATCTCCCAGCGAACGAGAAGAGATCGCAGGATTTTTAAGGAAAAGGGATTTTTCGGTGCGAATTATTTTGAATCAGTTTTTTTACGATAAGTTTAAACCAAAAAGGCAGTTCGAGAAATGCAAAGTTGTAGTGTAAAATTTTCCGTCTAGTTATAAACCGAAGACGCAACTTTTGAGGTATCATAATAATACACAGAGATGTCTACCGTACCACTTAATACATTACAGGTCCTAATAGTATGTGCATTTATCATTGGTAAGTACACTATTAACGTAGGTATCACATTACACTAATGGCGGGTATTATAAAGCATAGTTAACTATGTTGTCAGGCATTGTTAGCCTGACATTGTCAGGTAACAATGTTGTTAAGGCATGTGATTGGATGTTTATTTAAAGAATGATGTTATTCATTGAAAAAGCATCCAATCACATTCCTTAACAACATAGTTAACTATGTATTTTCAGGGCTTAGCAAAATGATTTTTAAATATTCTGAAATTCATATCAGTTCCAAAAATATTCGAAAAAAAACCCGAAGTTAACCATATTCGTTTTGATTTTTTTATGACCCTGTGTGGAACTTTTTAAGATCTACAATATGGGCCCAGAGATTTTACCCGCGACGAAGGAGCACTTACGAGTATTTACTTTGAATTTTGCAAGTATAAGCATTTGCTTACTTTTATTCATACGGCCCATTGTATAGCATTGTTTTTTATTACAAAGACAACGATCTATGGTACAGTATGATTCTTTATTATGTCATTTAAAACCATCAATAAATTATTTAAAAATGTTATGTAGAAACCAATTACATGTATTGCAAGGCATAACTCTAAATGTAACGTTTATACTATGCGATCAAAAATGAGTTGCTGTCGAGTCACCTTTGGAATTTTTGTTTACATGGAAAATCGTATTTAATTTGAACTTCCATAGGCGACTCGACAGCAACTCATTTCTGATCGCCCGTTAGTTACCACTCCTGAAGGCAGATTTAATACTTATCCATAAACATTTGTTGATATATGATGCACCACACTGGCAAAATATTCACTGGAGACAGTAACTTAATATTCAAATGAAAAACCCTGGGTAAAAGAACAAAAATAAATTGGAAGCACAGTTATAAATAATGATACATAGATTATACAAGAGAAGGCGAATATGTGACTAATGATATCTGTGAATAAAGCAAGCAAATGTAATGGTTTACTCAGTATAACATATTAGGGGCCTTTGAAATATGGTCTAGATCAGCGGTTCTCAACCTTTTTGAGTAATCTATAGCTGTATCGACTTCGCACGGTGGCGTGCTTTGCGAAATAGATACCTCACTTGCGCCAGAAGCCGCCTCGTCTTGAAGCAGCCCCAGGGTGAGCCGTAAGCAGTCGGTTTCTTATCGTGCTCAAAGGCGCCTCGTGATAAATACTCGCTCTGTTTGTACGTTGCGCTCTACGAAAATCAAAATGGGACAAAGAAAAGTGTTTACTTTTATTTGTAATGTAATTCTCCATTTTTGGGGTTCGTTGAGATTTGCTTTATTATATAAAAAAGGAACCACAATTGTTTGTTTCTAAAGCGATCGATTTCGGGTTTAATAATTTTTACAATTGACGCATAGCCTGATGATGGGTGGTTAAACCCGAAATCGATCGCTTTAGAAACAATAAACAATTGTGGTTCCTTTTTTATATAATAAAGCAAATGTTTACTTTTAATTGATGTATACAAAGAACATCGATTGCTGTGGGATCCAAAACATAAACACAATGATACTCTCAGAGAAGATGTCTGAAAAGAAATATGTTTAAGGTTGGAGATTCCTGTAGATAATATAAAATCTAAAATAAAATCATTGATGAGAACCCTTATTTTTTACTCGTAGTGAGAACCTATAGACTTATGACAATCAAGGAAAAAGCTGCAACAGCTGATGTGAAAAAACCGATGATATGGTGGAATGCCTCGCCCTGACTGACTGCTAATTTTAAGTACCACCATTTATCCACGACTTTACTATAAAAATAATGTAAAGTTATTTGTTGTCACTTATCAAATCAAGCAAATACTGTAATAATATCCCATGCAATGGCGACGGTCATTGCGCTATCAGTGTTGCCAGCGCGGCGGGCAGTTTATAACATTATACCAGTGTTCCCAATATTGGTGTGCCACCACAAATATGTACCATAGGTTGAAAGCCACTCGTCTAGATTTTTGCGCTGCAGATAAACGAATACATGCATTTCGATACATTAGGGAAATTCAAGTGACATTTATATTCTCCAATCTAGAGCTAAAATTTACAGTGTAACTCAAATAAAACCAAACACTTTCAGTCAATTTTACCTATTCCACAATTATATTGTTCTCTTTCTAATAACACACAAAAACATGTTTTACAGCAACTCGTATTACTATTCAAATGTACAGGTGCACATGATTTAATAAACTTTCAAGTGTTATAGTGATTACAGTTATGAATCGTGTTATAAAAGATGTCATTGCGAGGATCAGTAAGCGGTCTTACGTGTCACGGAACCAAAAATGTAAAATTAGGTTACACAAGCTCATACTGGGTCGTATTAAAATTAAATATGCATTTGAATATATAATTCTAAACTAAATTCTTACCTCTTACTCAGTTCGAATTTGCTTCTTTTCAGCTACGGCAAATCGACTCCGAACTACACACACTCACGATATACCTACAGAAAATAATTTGTTAAAAAAAAAAAAACAACATGTAGCAAAACAGTATGCATGATCACATTAACTTACAGTAGGACTCCCAAGGACATATCTGTGCAATACACCAAATACTGAAAAATAACCTTCGGAAATGAGGAATAAATACACAGTTATAAATTACTTTCATCCAAGTATTGATATATTAGAAAAAAAGTAGCGTTAAAAGTGTATGTTGAACAACAAGAATTCTAAGAATTAAAAAAAAAACTGTTATCTCAACAATACGGACAATAAAAAAAACTTAAGTCTACATTGCAGATACAATTAATTATAAATACCATAGTTACAGAACTTATTATTTAGATTTCAATAATCTATTAAATAAAACTCTTAATACTAGTACATGAATTAACTCCACATATGCTGTTCACAATTCACATCCGGTATCTGCTAAAATCTGTAATTAATCATATGATGCATCTGAAAACCAACATATACACTAATACTCTCAAATTATATCTGTATGTGCAAATTAAGTTAAAAAATATTTTGTCACTAAAAACTGAAATTCATTACAAATGTATAAGCTGCAACACCATCAGCAATGGCACATCCCTAATTTAAAACATCAAATATGCATAAATAAGATCTTAAAATGAGCGTAATGATTCATTTTCACTTATGTAATTTACTTACTGATCATATTCAATTGTCTTGTCCGCTATTCGATTGTGGATAACCGTAACCTGAGAAGGTGTATTGTCCTTGTGGCATCGTAGGTGGGGGGTTTGTATTTTGTGTTTGACCCCCATAATACCCTTTAATTTTATGTGTTAATACACATTCAAAAAACGCACAATTGTTACCTCCGGCAGCTTGATAACCACCATAGTTTTGTTGGTAGACATTTCCTGGTGGAGCCTGTCCGGTAGCATTGGGAACGGCAGATGGAGCTGTTTGCATTTGTTGTGAGGGTGGTGCACCAGCAGCCTATGAAACAAAAACAAAAAATCAGTTTGAGAACCAGACGAATTTATTTCAAATGTGGTGGTGCTAAATACACACCTTAGCTTTCATTTGCGATTCTATTGCTTCTGCTTCTTTATGTTTGCCTAAGCTTCTGTAATACTCGGCCCACTGGGCACTGTAGTCTGGCTGAGAACCATTCGAATTCGATGTAACTTGATTAGGAACGGCTGCAGTCACTGCGGGAACAACAGGGGCTGGTGCAGGTTGAGATGTGGCTGCTGTTACTCCTTTAGTTTTTGCCTAAAGATCATCACGAATATGAAGGAGTCAGAATTGTCACCAACTCACCTGCTGTTCGATTACTTCAGCTTCCCTGAGCATTCCCAAGGATCTATAATACTCTGCCCATTGAAGTGAATAATCTGGTTGACCAGTTACCGGATTCAATTGCACAGAAGTGGACGTTTGCGGAGGATTTTCGTTTCCCACAGATTGGACTCCCCACTGCTGTTGAAAAGCCGGCGCTCCCCAATTTTGTGGTGGATAATTTTGTGGCGCCATTCCAGGGTACGCCTACACAATTTTTATTGATTACAATGGTCTGCAGTTGGTACACTTACAGTAGGTAGATTGTTACTCACTCCTGCAGAAACGAAATTCAGGGGTATTTGTACTTTTTCGCTTATGATCCGCTTAGCTGTCTCAATTTGATCCGGATCGCCTCGTATGATGAAGGTCTTCTCCTGTTGGTTTTGAGACCTTCTATCCAACTCGCAATGTGCCCCAGATTGCTGATTGATCTGCTTTATCGTTTCGCCCCCTATTAATAATGAGAATCAAACTGTGTGCTTGGCACATTACACTTTACCTCTTCCTATTATAACGCCACATTTTGAGCTGGGCACAATAAAAGTGACTTCTTGAGGTGGCTGCTGTTGAGAGCGCCTCTCTTCGCCCCATCCACCGCCGCCCCCTCCTCCATATTCTTGATTTCCATTGCGGTTACCACGATTATCAAATCTGTCTCGTCCTCTCCCACGATTCCCACCTTCTTCGCGTCTACATACACTGTCAATTAATTCTTCAATCCGTTGACGGGCCTGTAATCACGAAATCAAAATAAGAAAAGGTTTCATAACGAGCAGCGTTTTAGGTAGTTCCTAAAACCATCAATGCAAGGAATAAAAATCACATCATTTCTCAACACAATTTAATAAGGTACAATTTATAAGTACAGTCAAATGAAATCACATTTATAATATAGCAACTTAAAAAGTTATTAAATCCCTTAGTAAATTTATTATCATTTTGGCACACAAGTAATTGAATATCTAACGCGAATATTCTTTTATAAAATATTATATGGCCGAAGAAATTCGTCAGGAGCTATCTACAAAATAAATAAAACAAATTATATAAAAAAGAATTTCATGCTGATTTATATGTAAATAAAAGTGACAACAATCAAGTTCATAAATAAAAATAAAGAGTGCTATAAACAGTTCCTCTCCTCAGTTCAGCCATCTGAAAGACCCAAAAGAAACACTTACATATAGCCTTCTACCGCATAGTAGATAGCAAAATGGACTTATTTGCTGTTCAATATTTGAAAAAAGCATATTTACAGTATCAATAAAAAAACACCATAAACATTTGTCATTATTTACCATTGATGTTTTCTTAAGTCATAGTTTCCTATAGTAGCAAATTTTCTAGAGTGATATCAAGGCGCCATCAAGTCGCCACCAAGTCGATAAGGATTAGTCACTGGCGATAAGGAATGAAAGCGAACATTTTCCATGAAATATGACATGTTGATTAGAGACTTCTCTAGAAGCTTCTTGTTTGCTATATAAGCAAATTGAATTGTATTTAATTTTAGTCTCAACATGAATTTCGCGCTCGTGTTATAAATTTGAATACAAGTAAGTCATAATAGTTAGCTGTTGTAAATCAATCTATTTAAGGACCGTCTTAATTTAGTTTCTTGTTAATAGTGTTAGTTTCTGTAAACATAAATAATTAATTTGCTTGAGACAGTTTGAGGCCGCTGACGCTACAAACAAATGGATTATGGAATGGAAGGACTGTCCTTATAGTTGCATAACATGGGAGATGGGTTGGATATTTTTTCGTACGGCTCCCCCAACACCTGCCACAAGAATTTGAGCAAATCTTATCACTGTTATAAGTTCAATGTCGAAATAAACATTTGCAGCACGCGTATTACGCTCAATTAAGAACCGAGCGCAACAAAAATTGGGATACACTGCAAAAACTCAAAACCAACATAGCCCAGTTGATCAGATTGACATATCCCACGGTTCCAGAAACATTTATAAAGCAATTGGCGATGCAAACGTTCATCGATGATGTTAGCAACAAGCTTTGAAACTTGCACGACAAGAAAAATTGGAAAAGAGTGGCTCATGTGCACATCATTAGTACAGATGGAAATAATTATAGAAGAAATAGTGAAAAGATTGGAGCAGTTAAAGCCGCAATGGACGAAACGATGGGGCTTGTGATGTGGTAAAAACGGATCCATAAAAAGAAATTGTACAGTGACCAATAACCTGGGAAAAGTAGGAGGGATTAAAGAGAAGCAGCGAGCAAGTTATGCCCAGGACACTACCATCTAAGTCACTACATGTACATTAAAAGAAGTATGGGGAAGGTTTAGTGTCTTTATAAATCCACTTGGTCAATTTCACCACGTTTTGAGTCGTTATAAGATGGATAGCTACCAATTTACCAATCACTACATGTAGGCGTCAACACGGGCAACGCATGACACTTGTGGATGATGATTGGGCACTCCAGGAACAATGCACGGTAGTATATCAGGTCGTCTAGCAGTGATGAGTATAATTACACAATTTATTTACATAAAATTAAATTATTAACACTAACAAGATTCTAAATTAAAATGGTCCTTAAATAGAATCATTTGTAAGAGTTAATTATTATTAATCACTTACCTGTACTCACATTTATAACATGAACGCGAATTTCACATTTATTACTTCAGCATCGATGTGTGAGACTAAAATTAAACAGAATTCAATTTGCTTACATAGCAAACAAAAAGCATCTAGGGAAGTCTCAAATCAGCATATCATATTTCAAGAATAAGTCACATTCGCCTACATTTTTCATCGCCAATGATTAGACTTTATCGACTTGGTGGCGACTTGATATCACTCTAGAAAATTCGCTACAATACATTCCTGGTGCTGTATGCCTGTATAATGCATGCAGATTCTAATGAGTTCGCAACATGTGCATTGAAAAATAACAAGTCTATTCAACAAAAGTAGTGTCTTTTCTGTAATGCTTTAGATAAGAAAGAGGAACATTCAGTATGTGCAAGGAATTTAAAGATAGTAAATTCATACTTGCCCAATCAGATTATGTATAAAACTTTTAGAACACGTTTTCGAACCAACTCAGTATGTCATTACCATCTAACCGTGAGCTGGATTAGAATATATTATATACCAAGGTAAATAAGCTTTGCGAACATCAAGATAACATCCTGAGGTATTTGCAAGTAGAAAGGCAGTAACCTACCTGTACTACTTTTTTCACTATTAGCAAAGGGTACTAAATATAATACGATTTAAAACACAACAAATAATTGTTTTTTGAGATTTGGGAACCGAAACGATTTGTGGGTGTGCAAAAAGGCGTAAAGGTATAATGATACAACATGGGCAATGGAACAATATGAATGCAACAGTAGTTTGTAATAATATTCATCCAAACTCACTGCATGTCATGTAAAAAATATGTATTTTCAATAATAAATTCATCACAATATTATGCCCTAATTTCATTGGAAAAACGAGCTTTCATTAATCTCACTGGGTCACATTTATACATTTTCATTAGCTTGCATAAATTAGTAAAGCGAAGTTGGCTACCCGACTACTAATAACAGTAAAAGGCGCGATAATAATAATAATATACATACACAGATACAATTCTTTATCTAGAAAATTGATACGTTAAGGTTAATCAATTATAACAGTGTATCGTATTATACAGTATGCACCATGAGATGAAAAAATGTGCCAATCTCTTAGGTGCTTGTTGCCTGAAACGAACATGGTGCAACAAACACTTTAGTTCTGTGGCATATAATACACCATTATTTAAATTAAAAGATCAGTCTCAAAATACTATTTCATGACCATTTGTAGCATGTATGTAAATGTTTTGTCACCTTCAGAACTTCTTTGTGCGAAATTAGCTACATGTATAAAGGTTGCAATGGAAAATGTGGGCACTTCATTCTACATACAAAAATAATTAACAGTGTGATAAAATTCCCCCAAATTTCTTTCAATTTTGAAGTACAAATGGACAGATGACGATTCTGTTGGTAAAACCATTTACGAAGTAGGTCAACTCACTCTCATTTAGAAATAAGGACAATACTTACTAATTCCTTCGACAGGGTAATGCTCGATATGATTAATACACTGTTCCTGTTTTAAAATTGCCGTAATTAATGATAAACATGGTTATCTTAACTGGAAGTAAAATTAATGATACCTATATGAATGAATTAGCATTGGTAAGTTTTCACAAAATATGTACAGACATTTCAACTAGAAAAATTGACCACATAAATCAGCATGAAATTCAGAACAAATTGCATCCCACTCGAATCTGGAGCAGTAAACTGACACCTGTAAAAGAAGCGAATGCAGTACAGGAAAAACCTAACATCATTCAGATACATATTATATCAAGAACGGAAATGTACCTACTGTGGTTGTTGTAAAGGAAATTGCTTTCTTCAAACTTACCAACTGCTAATTTAAAACAAAACATTGCCGACAAATGATATATAATCAATCAATAGCACAAATAGAATATTTTGATGCATTTACCACTTCATAATAATTTAGACACATACTGATGAGCAATGATGAATGTGACACAATAGACAGTTTAGTACAACTGATAAATCCATATACGATCACAATATTTGTACATATATAAACATGTTCAAAAAAGGTGGTAAGATCTCCAAGTAAACACTTACTGTTTACAGATTCACTCTCACAGCAAAATCCATGTCGCCAAAGAAGGTCTGATCGCTACCAAGGAGGTGACATTTAGCGTGTATTTTCCATTTTACACCAAAGAACTGTAATTTATAAACACACACGAATAGTTACTTTCTTTTAAACCAAGCACTATAATCGTTTAATCTAAATGTTACGTTAACAAAAGTAGTATACATACACTACAAAGTTAATCTTCATCATTTTGTATATATTGTTGTTTTATGGGCATACACATAATAGAAAAATAATTTATATATTGATTGACACTCAAATCAATTTAATATGTACTTCAAAATGGAATTTGACATTTGCCACACGAATCATGTAATCGAATGAAAAACTTCAGAGGTATACAGAAGAGCGAAAAAGAGGTAACCGAGAGGTATTTAATTTAACTACACAATTCTTAGTTAAACAAATAATTTTAGAAATATGAACAGGACTAGATCTTGATTAACCATTGGAAAATATAGCATCATTTTCTATCTGCATAAATTAGAGAAGAAAGAAGAATTATTAGCTAATAACGCAAAAGGCCTTTTTGATATTGAAATCCTTTGGGATGATATGGAAAAAAAGTGGTGCTGTTACTTAAACACAGTAAATTAGTGCAATTGAAAAAGAATTTCCATTTCAAAAAGCCTACCCAGATTCCCATACAAAGTCAATTCTGTTTTGGACATTACGGCTGAAAAGGTTGAACGAATGAGAGAATGACCCACATTTTATCAGTTAGGTTTCAGAGCGACATAAATATTATATTGAGGGATAATCCCTTGAAAATTTTATATTTCATACTTTTATTAAATATCTATTATCCTTAATAACAAAGATGATACTACAGTAGACAGAAATGCGGTATTTATTTTGTATCACAGAATACTAGCACAAAAAGTCAAATTTAATAAAATTTTGTACTTTTGTGTTAGCGATTACGTTCAATTCAATGACGACTTTTTTTCTAAGCCTCCTATTTTTTTGCAATTTTATTGAACATCTCTTTTTACGCATAAGAAATATAGTCGTCTATGATTGCAAAAAAAAACTAGTAGACCTAGAAAAAATTCGCTAAAGCTATTTCATTGACTGTAGTCGCTAATACAGAAACTACCACATTTTATTAAATTTTTGACAAGATGGCGACGATATTTCAATCTTTTGAAAATCAGAATTTTTAGTTTTTGCTGAATATTTGGAAACCCCCTGTAGATTTTTGATAAAGAATATGAGGAAAAAGAGGCGGGGCATCAACGCTGGCTTGTTAATAGTGCTATAAAAAGGTACTTACAGTAATTTATCCATGAGTTTGGAAAGCACTCGCAGGGTAAAAAGTCGATTA